GGCGGGGGGCAGCAGGAGGGCGCGTTCCGTGGGGAGACATCGGGCGGGTTTTTGCGTGTGTGGGGAAACGCTGCCGGGCTGGGGGCGGCCACGCGTCACGCTTCGTTTTCCACGCTGTCAACTTTTGCTAAGACGAGGCTAAAATAAGGCTGATTTCGGGGTGAAGCGGGGTTCTGGCAGTCGCTGAGGAGTGCTGAGGTAGGGATTGCCGCACTTTGCTAGTTTTTTGGGTTTTTTGAAATGAACGGGACGTACAGAGACCCGAGCTGCCCCTTTCACAGAAGAGGGAAAGATGCCTTTGGCAGTCTACGGCTTTGCAGGGGCATATCGGTCTTGACACGTTTCATCACACAGTTACACTTTTTCAATGAATATATAAGGCTTTGAAGGCTTGAAGTGTCATAACTTTCAATTTTTGCTCATCTCACTGACTCAGACGAGGTACAATTGCAGATTTGTGGCGCAGGCTCTTCACATTTGCAGCTGGTATGGAGGTGGATTTACAGAATATATTTTAATAATTGCAATATCGCATAGGGGTCTTGCTGCACGTAAAGGTGTCCCTCTTAAGGATTTATGGCACATTCTTTTTAGTTTGGTCGTGCGTTGTTTCTTTGACTTCAAAAAAGTCAGTTCAATCAGGATGTAACTTTCAGAGTTGAAGGATGTAAAATAGCACTTGAAGCTAAAGTGTTGATAAAATTACACAAAGATTAAAGGAGCAAAGTCAATGCTTTTTCAAAGATTTAGAAATAGTTATTTCAAAACACTGCTTTTATATAATTTATGGGTACATTGCTAAGAATTTTGCAAAACGTCTTGAAGTCATCATTGCAGTGTTTACAAGCAGAAAGGAAATCAATGAAAAATAAATCTGACCTTTTTTAATATTCGCTCAAAATTGAAAAAATTGTTGTAAGCATGGTTTAAAGAAAGTAAATTTTATTGATGTCTCACTTTTAATTCAACATACAAAACCTCAGTCTTTTATTGCTAAATGTGATTTAAAAGTTTATTCTTGGTTTCAGTATTTGGAAAAGGAGTGGTTTTGATCATGATAGAAGAGATTACTTTGTGAAATTATTATGTTATGTTATATGGTATATATGACTGAAATTACTTGCAGTTAGGTTAAGCCAAATTTTGCCTTTTGGCACAAGGCAACAGTTTTGACTTCACTGACAACCAATTGTATATAGAGAGGGTAAAATTTGCTTTTCGCAATTCATTTGCTCTAAAATAAAATTAAACTTGCTCTTAAGAAGAAGAAAAACATTATAGCTCCCTATTATTAAAATACAGGGTGAACGGAAATAGTAATCAGAGTATCATGTACATACAGTTAAAATTATTTAAAAAGGGTTGCTTTGTATGTGGTACAGTAATCATTTTAATGAGTAGAAGTGATTTATGGATGTGACTTTGTTCTTATCATACTTTAAGAGTGCTTGTAAATGAGTTTGATGTTTCTTTTAGTTAGTCTGGAGGTAAACTAACCCTTTATCTGGGATAACTTCTATTTGACAAGGCAAAATACATGCTGATTTAAAATACAGTCAAGGTAGAATTTTTGTTCCTTGCTCAGAATCTTAAACTAACAGGTGAGACTTAAATGCACAAATTGAAGTGACCTTAACAAGCACCATACTGCAGACCTGTGATAGTGTTTCCTTGGGAGTTCATACACCCAAACGTTTTCCACTCAGTTTAACAGATTGGATCATTCTCCCTGCCCAACAGGAAGCTGCAAACCTTCCTGCTTGTGTGAGTTTCTTGTGGTTTTTCTTTTAAAATATTTGGGGTTTTTATTAGAGATTCTTAGGAAGAAAAACATGAATGCTGAGTTGTGGAGAAATGTCTGTGTTGATTAGAAGGAACTGCGGAAGGCAGTATTTGCATAGTTTCCCACTTTTCAGAATGGTAAAACCTGTTTTTGTATGATAGTTCATGTTCTGAAATCTCCTCCTCTGCATCTGCTTTTGAGTAGAGTATCTGATTTTGAAGCAGAGTATCTGATTTCTGTGAGCCATAGGATTGTGTGTTCCAGTGTATCCAAGACTGGAACCGAGCTGCCTGGGTGGCAGAAGGTTAACGCCAGTGTGCAACTTCTGCAGCGCCCAGGGCTGCCCTTGGCAACTTGTGACGAGCCCAAGGCCCATGTCTTATTTGCACAAAGATATTAATCACAGAAATTTGGGCATTTATGTTTACTTCCATGATGCATACCCTCTAAATCTATATAAAGAAATGGTTCTACTTTTCAGATTCTACATACTTGTGCTTCCTTCTACTTCTTGCAGTTGTGTACACACTTTTTGCTGCTTGCATCCAGCATTCCTCAATGCTGTCTTCACAGCTCATCTTCAGTCCTTACTGACAGGTCAAGTCAGTGAAAATGATGCAGTGGTTAAAAGTGGTATAAAGAGAGATGACAAAATCCTGGATCTGTTACAGAAAAAGTCCCCCTGACTTCACAGTGACCAGAATTTTTGCCCTGAGGCAGTCTGACATGAGGCAGCCTTTTCACGTGCCCTAGCCGTTGTGCAGTGAGAAGGATCGCAGTCCATCTGTTGTTTGCTGAAAGCTGAATGGGCAATATTGGCATCAATGAACTGGCGAGGAAGTGCTGTGCCATGCCACAGACCTGTAACATTAGTGCTGTAGGTGGCTGTTAATCAGGAGACTGCTGCTGGCAATAGCTTCACTGTAGAGTTCAGGAAGCTGTTTGGCATATTGTGTGGTATTTACAATAGAATCCATAGCACAGGTCTTCAGAAAGGAATGGTTTGTGCTCCAGTTAGCTCTTAATCTAAAGATGAACTCTTAGTCTGTGGTTGATTTTATCTGTTTTTTGATTAATTACGAACTACATGGCAGTATATTATGCTGTTACTGATCAAACTTGTAAATGCATATTCACTAATATGGTCTGTAATGATCCCTTGTTGCTAAGCTATTAGGGGATAGTTTAATTCTTCTTTCTAATTATCAAGCCGGAAACTTTAATCTTTTAAATTTGAGTTGAATGTAAGAAACATCTACCCTGCTTTCTATGTGCAGCTCTTGTATCTTTGTTATATTGGTAAGTGCCTAGCAATATTGCCGTTCAAAATCCTTGATAGTTCCATGCACACACTATGTCATTTTATTTTGCTACTGGTTAGCAGGAGTTTGATGTGCTAGGTAAGAGAGAAGGCAGAAATCGTCCCAGTGTCTTGAAGTCCCGGAGTAAATGAAAAATCATAAAAGTTCCTGCAGCAGCTAGCAGCTGCCAGGCATGTATTGATACACAGTAATAGAAATAAAATACTGTCATTTTTGTACTCTCAAACATTGAAACTGCAAGGCAACCTCTGAACAAAAGAAAGCAAAACAAATATGCAAAAAAAATCCCCAAAACCCACTGACAAGAAATTGTCAAGAACAGCCACCTTTTCCCTGCTTGTAGGTGTAGTGATGGCCTTTGCCTTTATTTTTTAAACAGTGGAGAAAAAGATAGGTGTGGGAAGTAAAGAATGTAATAGCTGTCTTTTTCTGACTTTTGTTCAGTAAATTGAAAAGAGTTAGTAATTCTGCTTTGATTTACAGATGTTCTAGTAAAGATGATTTTGAACTTTCTAAATGCTTCCTGTTAACTAAATGCTTGACTGTTAGTGATTGGATTCTTGGCAATTGCTAAGGCTTAGGAAGAAAAGTAGGCAAAAAAATTGAAGACCATACAGAAAGTATGACTCACAACCCTTTTAAAAGCAGGGAGAGATCAGTACAGAAATAAAGCTTCCATTTTATACTTAATTTAATATATCACATATCTTTTCTGCTTAGTGAAGTAGTGGTGGGAGATTCTTTAAAATGTAAAGGGAGCCTCAGCCAGAGAGAAATCTGTGTAGTTAATACTGAACATAATCTTGTTCTACTTTTTCCTGTCTGCTGCAATATTAAGTATGACTTGCAGTTAGAATCATTACCAGCTACCAAAATGTTGTGATGTCACTAGATTTGTTTGGGGAAAAATTGCAAGCTTAAAGGAAAAAGGCACTGATGCTCACTGTAGAGTAAGTTAGTTTCTAGGAAAGATGGAAAAGTTTTTCCTCTCAAAGTGACCACTGAAGAATTTTTAGAGTAAGATTTAAGCAGTTATCATTGTGCTTCAAGCCTTAAAAGTGCTTCCTTTGTTATAAATTATGTAAAATGTATTACCTAAAAAAAAAATAAATCACAGTATCTTCTTAATAAATATACTAGTGTAATGAAGGCAGATAGGTGTACTGTGTATTTATTAACTCGCCTTCCTGGTTTGTAGGCAAACTATTAGTTATATTGTAGTTTGTAGTAGTTAGACTTGTGGATAACAGTTTACATATTATGACGGCACACTGTCACGGAATCTAATGTTAAATACAAAGGATGGATATTTTGCCATGTTTATGGTCCTTAGTGTTCTTTTTCATTATAGTGGTATAAGATTATAAATCTATATTAGTAATATATATTACTTCTGAATCTACATCTTAACATTAGGCTTCTAAAAAGTGACCCTTCCCTGTCTCCCATCAACCTCTTTTGAAAACACACCAAGTAGCAATCCAAAGAAAATCATTAACATTCCGTTATATCTCTTAAAAAATTCTTTGTACATTGCTTAAAGTATAAGGACCGGTGTTACACTTGGAATCCCAAGGTGGATCTTAGATACTTTATCAAAGGAAGTGAAGAGGGATACGGAGATCAAAGAAAGTTTATTCTGTGAAGACATATGGATTGTGGTGTTCACTTGTTTAAAAAAATCTCAGAAATTTAGAAAAGATATGAGGTGTAACTAACACCAAATATTTCATGGGCAATTCCTACAAAAATAATACTGCTGCTAAATCATAATAAGATGCTAAGAAATTTCATCCCATAATGGTACAGTAAGAAACAATGTAAAAAGTCAGATTTTACAAAACAATAACACTTCTGTATTTTATCTGGAGCATTTAAAAGGTCTGCCATTAGCAGCACTACTGAAATTTTGACTTGAGAATGTTAACAAAATAAATAGATGTGTACATGTTTTGTCATGCTATTCATGCATCTGAGACCCATGTAATGCTTTCTCTTCTTTTCTAAATAGCTCTTTCAAAGTACTTTAATAGAAGCAGCTTGTTAAATGTTTAGGGAGGAAATGGTAGAACTGAATTTTTAAACACAATTTTTTCCAGGGTCAGGTGTTTAATAAGAATTTCTACTTACTGTTTTGTCAAAAGTGTGCTCCAACTACTTCAAAGTTTTTAAAAAAGTGAATCATTAGTCTGCTTTGTGCATAGGTGTTTGCCTCCTCTTTGCAGAATTCAAGTTTGTGTCATCCAGCATTTTCTCGTGTGATTTAGACTTTTTTTTTGTGGAACATGGAATCACACTGACAGAGAGTGAGCAGAGAAGAGTTTTAGGTGTAAATTATAAAGTAAACATTGTCACTGGGATTTTATCACTGAAAAGTATAGCACTACCTTTGATTTAGAATGCAGAAGTTACCTGACCTCAAAAATAAAGCCACAGAAATACAGGCATGCTTAGAATTGCCCTTCAGAGGCTACAAATCTAAGTGGCTTTTAGTACAGTGAGCTAGTGACAGGGATGAGTGCTTCCATATTCTCTTACCATCTGATTTAGTCTGAGATTTGTATTCCAGGTAGTTTGTTTGCTAATCTTGGTAGTCATAGTTTTGAACCTTTTTCTGCTTTTTTTCAACCAACGTAGCCAGTCTTAAGCCAGTAACTGTATTTTACCTCTTTTCCTCTCTTCTGTATCTTTTTTCTGCTTGCCACCAGTTCTTCATGGTTTTTTAGTTGGTGCTAATGCCAATAAGTAACTAAGAATTACACCCTTTATTATAGTCTTAAAAGCATACAGATACACGGGAAAGAGAAATTAAACACATGCAGTCTGTGTAACAAGTGAGCTGAGCAGTCCTATTAAATTTTATTTTTGCCAACTGTTAATGTATTTTTATCGTCTCCAGACTCCTCATGAAGCTCTCCTTTGTATAAGCTGCCTTTTATAGGTCAGTATGCCCCATCTTATTAATAAACAGAATAAATGAGAAATATGAACAAGTGTAGATATTCCTGTGATAGAAAAAAAGTTTAAAAATTAGTTCAATTATATTGTTAGTAAATATGGTCATCTTAATCAGTGAGTATACTGAGTGTAAAATGTTTGGGAAAAATTTTGTTAAGTATATAAAAGTGGTAAAGGAACATATCCCATTCAGCATAGCAGAGAAGATGTGTTTTAAGAGAAGCTTAATCTGGAAACAGCATGTACCCTGAAGATGCTGTATTGCTGTACAGGAGGTCATCTTACAGGAACACAGAAATGGTGAAAGTGCAACTTTGCCTCTGCATTGCTTCAAGGTCAATTAATGGAGAGAGAATACCCAGCTGCATAGTCATTCTCAAATTGTACAAAAAATTCAATTGAGAGTTGTAACTGTAAAAGGGAAATGTAATTAATGCTAATACAAAAAATAAAGTATTTATGAAACATTAGACTGAAATATACACAAACCCATTCATAATTCAGGAAATAAGGATATAGAAATACAGAAATTAAGTTGTGTCTTCAGGAAGCATTCTTTTGGATGTCTGTAAAAAGCAGGACTTGGCAAATCTATGTATAGTTACAAATAAGAAAAATTCCTTGGCCAATATACTGAATTTAAGGTATCAGTAATAATATATGTATTTTAACCTAATAGCTGTGAAAGTAACGTGTGTGTGTGTAACATTCAGTTGCTGGATCCTTTTTGGCAGCAGTTCTTATGTCCTGTGTGTTTTCATGTGTCCACCTGAGGTATGTTGTGTGCTACCGTGCAAGTTGCCCATCAGTTCTTTGCTATTACCACATGTCAACAGTCTTGAAATGGAAAGATGTTAAATTGTGGAGCATGTACAAACAATACATCTTGAAGAACAGTAGGTTAACAGATGAATGAAATACACTGTAAACATTTGTATTTTGAAACATGAGGATGAACTGTCTTAAAACCCTGATGCTGATTTGGCCTGCAAGAAGAACCATTCAGCAGCATGTTAGTGTGTGGTAAAATTTGGAGGGAAAAGGAGTCCTGCTGCTCCCACTTTGCTGATATTATTCCTTAAGCTGCATTCTGCTTTTGCTCCTACTATAAAATTTCACACAATTCAATTAGTATTCATAATAATAGTTCTACTGGACTGCAGTGCAGCAGGCAGGGAATTCTCTTGTGGTTGGGCTCTGCAGTTCTTCGAGTGTTTTGTCAGAGGATCTGTAGATGCAGCCTTTTCCAGCACAGCAGGAAGCTGCTGCTGGCACGGGAGAACTTTGATGAATGGGAGGGAGCTAAAAAAACTTACTTTACCTGTCTTAGTTGTCCAAGTACTGCAGTGGTTGCAGTCACATAGAACTAGCGTCAGTCTGTCTGAATTAATGGCCTAAATGGTGTTAGCCAAGTCTGAATGAATGCAAGCTACCAAAGGATCAAATTCTGAGGTAGGTTTTACAAGATGTGTTGGAATGAGAACTGATGCCCTATGTAAGTGTGATGCTACCTAAATGACAATTCAGTCATCCCAGGCAATTCTAAAATTGTAGTTCTCTTCAATATATAATAATCTATGATTTAGTGAATGTTGGTGGTAATGAACTTCACATAGAAATTGTTTATACTGTGTTTAGTCGATGCTTGTTTTCTTTACCTTGTTTTAGGAGAAAGGTTAAATACCATCAGTGTTTTTTCTGCATGTGTTGTGCACTACTTCATGTACTTCTGTTATGTTCACTAAATTCACCTCCTCTCCAAACAAAATGTTAATCTTTTAAATCTTTCCTTGTATGGATGACTGTTTCTGGTTTTAATCTGTTTATGACATTCTCTAGTGCTTTTCTGTTTCTGATAAATCTTTTTTTAGATGGATGATGTTAGTGAGCACATAATTTCTAGAGAGGTCATGCCATACATTTATGTAATGGTATAAAATCTTAAATCTGCATTAAAGAGAGATGGTTGTGAACATCTTTCTTTGGTTTACTTTGTCCCTTAAACTGACTGTAATAACTGTTAGGTGTTTTTTTGGCAGTAGTCTCAGTTTAAATCTCATTAGTGAGTAGTAAAAATCTTTGCCTAGAGCATATGTTCATGTCTTCTGGTGTTTGCTCTGACTTCTGTCTGGGAATTGGAAACTCTTTTGGAGCCGTTCTCTTCAAGGTGATGTGTGTAGCTTGTGCCGCTTCGTGAGGCAGTGACATTCTTACTCGAATTACTTAGCTAGACACTGATCTTGCCTTTTTTCCTTCCCCCTCTCCGTATCTTCCCCAAGTTTTTCCTACTTTTGTTATTTAGGTTATATAATTTTTTTGTGGGTTCTCACAACGGAGAAACTTTAAACTTTGCCTTTTTTGGGTAACAGGGTTTCTGTTGATACACCGCAGTGAGACTGCATCAGTAAAAAACTTTTTTTGTGGATTCCCAAAGATACAAGACAGCAGTTGCTTGATGAGGTGCTTTAGGACAATATCTCTTATATATCTCTTAAAGTCTGGACTGCTCTTGGCCTGCATTTTCGGTACTTTTTTTTTTTTTTTTTTCCCAAAAGCTCTTCCATGTGTTCTGTTCTTTTAGGAGACAAAGGAAGACATTTACTTTCCACTTCTTTGTAAGCTGTATAAAGATTTTTGGCTGTTCCAGGTCATCAGTCAGTCTCCAGACATTGAAATGACTCCTTGTGAAATATGGAAAAATAGTAACTGAATGTATGCAATTACTTAACTAGAGAGGTGCCTTCCAGTCAATATAATAGTAGAATAAGTACAGGATAAACTAGCAAATAGGTTGTCACGTGTGTTTAAGGTACAAAACAGTGTGGGGAAAAAGTGCTCTACAAGTACTGCAAAGTTTATACATCATAGATGCAACCAAACATTAGAAGAAATGATATAAAACATTAAGAGACTCGTGTTTCAAACTGGAATGCAAGTTATGCAGTATACTGGAGACCTGAATAGTGTGGATGTAGGTTTTTAAAAAGTACCACTTTGTTCTAGAGTGATAGAACTTCAGTCCCTCATAGATAAGCTTTCAGTTTTAGAGGAGTTCCATAATTTCATGGCACCAGGCAAATGATACAAGTGCATTTTGTGTTTATAGTTACTAAAATTATCTTAATGTTCTTGAGCCATAGGATTTTAAATTGTGATAATGGCATGAAGATGCTAATAAAACCAAGTAATTCTTCTTCCAAGACCTTGGCCATAATTCCATAGAAAAGGGGATAAGATGAGAAACTGAACCCTACATAAACATAGCTGTGGGTCTTTGGACACAGGAATGCAGATGTACACTGTTCATTTAAATCAATGTTAATAAATGACTTTTTTTAATAGGTATATCTGAACCTTCTTTTATTGCTAAAAGTGAAGATCGCTTGTTTAAACATTTATTTGAAGACTATCAAAAATGGGTTCGTCCAGTGGAACGCTTGAATGACACAATAAAAATAAAGTTTGGCCTTGCAATCTCCCAGCTAGTAGATGTGGTATGTATAGTAAATAAGTTTAATTTTTTTCTCTCGTTCTTAAAATTCTGGAACATAATGTCATGTGAAATAATTGTGGATATTTTAGCTTAAACACAATAGATTTATTATGCTGATAATAATTTCAGAGATTTAAAAAATGCATTGTAGATGGGCACATGAAGAAGTGATTGCAAAGAGGTTGAGAAGACAAGTGGCTCTTACGTTTAGTGGCATTTTCAGAAAAAAGTGAATTAAATTCTTAAGCCTAGGGAATTGTGTTTTTATTTATTCAGTGGGGAAACCACCTATTTTTAAACTTTATCACTCTAATTTACGTAAAATTCAGGAACATTTGCAAATACTGCTTTCTTTTTCCTCTTAAGCAGCAAAAAGTCCTCTAAGCCTTCAAATGTGTCACTTCTATAGTAATGAAGATTATCTTTGGCATTACCTGTGATGTAAAAGAGATCAACCAGATTGTTTTTCATCCTGATACTTCAGAATATTCTTTTCAAGTTGAATTGACTGTTTATAGCTATAAGAGGAGTTTTTCTTCCACATGTTGGCTGTTCCTTTATGTTTCCATAGAAAAATAGTAAGACTGCATAAACTGCAGTTAAATTAAAAAATCGAAGGGAGGAATGAGACACAGAATGGGAAAAAGATCACTTTTAACAGTTAAATAATCAAAGGTCATAACTGTATAAAAAATTCTCATGTTATCAGTGACTGAAATGCTTTTATAAGTGTATTTTGTATTTCAAATTACAGACCTCTGTGAACTAAAGCAGCTAGTTACTATGAATGTACTGTGCAGATTTGTTTTCATAAAATATGCTTTATTTTTGTAGGATGAGAAAAATCAATTGATGACAACAAATGTCTGGTTGAAGCAGGTATGTATAAAATATAAAAAAATTCTGAAGCTTCATGACTGCAAGTTACAAGCTGAAAGAAATGTTTCTAATTAATTGTATATTCAAAAAAACTTGGCTTTTTCTCAAATTTTTATTTTACATAGTATTTTTAAAAATTGTCCCCGGAAATGCTTTAAAGGGTTAATTGTTATAAAACTCTTAAAACCCAAAAACCAGCCAAACAAAAAAGGTAAATTTAAAAAATTGACCTAATAAAAATAAATCTGATATGGCACTGGATGGCCATCTAATATACCAAAGTGCGTGTATCTAATCATAAAAGTTACTGTTTCAGTACATAAGTTTTCTTTCAAAAACTCTACTAAGAAAAGTATGGGTTTGTGTAGTGTTTCGTGTAATAGTTTTAAGATCTTTCTTTTGTGGGATATTTGAGATTTACTGGATAAACATCACTGAAGAATTTCAGTTTCGAAGTTGTATATGCTTGCTATAAAGAGCTACTTTTTCCGCTTAAGAATATGTATATATGGGAGGGAAAAAGCCTCAGGCTTTATAATAATCAGACTCTAGTGCTGAACTTAATGGCCACTATTAACTTGGGAAACGCTGCTCATAAATCATTCTTGATTTAACTTAGAAGAATGTTTGCAGACCCTGATTATACTTACTAGCTTACTAAATTATTTTCGTTTGGGGCACTTCCATCATTTGTTTCCCTTTTGCTTCCCATTCCTTTCTTTTCAAGTAAGTGTAATTTCAGCAAAGTTCTTTTCAGGAAAACTTTGACACTACTCCACAAGTACAAGGTGGCAATATGTCAATGGTAACACTTTGTGTCCTCTTTGTTTCTGCAGAATTTGTTGCAGTTGAACCAGTTCAAATAAAATAAGAACTGATCTGAATATGCATTTAAATTCTATGTGATGGTGAATTTTCCTCCTGAGCTTTTAATTCACATAAAAAATTACCAAATAACTATTATGCTTTTAATGGTGCTATTTTTAGTGCTGCTAGTAGAAATAAGAATGACTATCTTGTGAACGTGGCAGCATGATTTTTTTTTTTGTGATGAAAATGTTTAAATTGCTTCTGATCGACTTCCAAAGTCATTGATAAACATTCAGAACAAGCTTTTTTCAAATTTAATTGTCTATATGTTACAATTGCTCTTACTTATGTATACATGCTCTGAGAAAGGATTTTATTATCTTAAGTTCTGTACAAAAATACTGTCAAGTGGCTCTTAGGAAACAAATATTGGATAAGGTAAATATATGTCTCCAGCAAATTTACCATTGTAAATTTTAGAAGACAGTTTCATTTTAATTTTTTTAAGATAGTCTTTTTATCTGTTTTCATCCAGCCTTGCCCTTCTTAAAGCAACTTGACAATAATAATGATTTTTACATCTCACATATCCACAGGAATGGATAGATGTAAAATTACGGTGGAATCCTGAAGACTATGCTGGAATAACATCTATTCGTGTCCCATCAGATTCTATTTGGATTCCAGATATTGTGTTGTATGACAAGTAAGATTTTAATCTTTTCATATAAGATATATTTACTTTCTAACTTTACCATCCAAGCTGTTTCTGGGAGGCCCATTGAATAGGTCACTGTGTACATTTAGTAGAGCTAAGAATGTGTGGAAGAATTTGCCGCTGAATGCAGATAAATTTTGTTGTCATGTTAAATGCTTAAATGTTTTGCTTTGCTTCTGAATGGATTTTCTAGTCTCTTTGAACCATTTCTTTGTGTAAACTCTTTTTGTAAAATTAGAAAACAGTGTTTTGCACAATGCTGGCTACAAACTAATAGTGTAGAGTGATGGGACAGAAGCAACTAATTCATGCTGTTGTAAGTGATACTCAACATGGAGTTAAAATTAAGCATGCTCAACTGTAAGGTGCTTTTTTGTTGTTTTTTGGAGGTTGGGTGGATTTTTTTTTAGAATTAACAGATCTCAGAAGCAATGACTTCTCAATTAACCTTTCTGCTCAGCTTGGGTGCATATATAATGCTTTTACATTTCCTGACTTCTTGAGTCAGGAAAAAAGGCTGTTGCAGTGATTGTAAATTCAAGTTTGGAGGTGTCACAAGTATTATTTTACCTGGTTTGTGACGACTTTTTTTTTTTTTCTTCAATAATTATGCTGTATTACCAATAGAAGCACTAGAGTCTGAGCATGCTGTTAAAGGTCAGGATTTTTACACTCCTTTCACTGGGACTGCAGAAAGTTGCACAGATCTTTTGATGACTTGGAAATATTCTTCACTTTTCCAAAGCTGTTTACTTACACAGGATTCAGATATATTTTTAGGTTAACTATGAACACAATACAAAAATTGGGCTATGAGGGGTGAGAAGGGATAAACAGCTGAAATGACAGTAACGCAACATATTTCCATATTTAAAACCACATGCCCACACCCCACATATAGCCATTTTAATTGCATGCACGTATCTCTCTTCTTTCAGTGCAGATGGACGTTTTGAGGGAACATCTACAAAAACTGTGGTAAAATATGATGGCACTATTTCTTGGACTCCACCAGCAAACTACAAAAGTTCTTGCACTATTGATGTAACCTTCTTCCCCTTTGACCTCCAAAATTGCTCTATGAAATTTGGTTCCTGGACTTATGATGGCTCACAGGTTGATATAATTCTTGAAGATTATGATGTTGACAAAAGAGACTTTTTTGATAATGGAGAATGGGAAATAGTAACTGCAACAGGGAGCAAAGGAAATAGGACTGATGGATGCTGCTGGTATCCTTTTGTTACGTATTCATTTATAATTAGACGTTTGCCACTTTTTTACACGTTGTTTCTCATTATTCCTTGTATTGGGCTTTCATTTCTAACTGTTCTTGTCTTCTATCTTCCTTCAAATGAAGGTGAAAAAATTTCACTTTGCACTTCAGTATTGGTATCTCTGACTGTTTTTCTTCTTGTTATTGAAGAGATAATTCCATCATCTTCTAAAGTTATCCCACTTATAGGAGAGTACTTGGTGTTTACTATGATATTTGTGACATTGTCCATTGTGATAACTGTCTTTGCTATCAATATTCATCATCGCTCTTCATCTACACACAATGCTATGGCACCCTGGGTTCGCAAGATATTTCTTCACAAACTTCCCAAGCTGCTTTGCATGAGAAGTCATGTAGATAGATACTTTGCTCAGAAGGAGGAAACAGGAAAAATGAACGGATCGGAATCATCTAGGAACACCTTGGAAGCAGCTCTAGATTCTATCCGATATATTACAAGACATGTTATGAAGGAGAATGAAGTTCGTGAGGTTGGTGTGTTAGTCACATTACACTGATTTTTGTAAAAATGGAAATTAGAAAACTAAGTAATGGTTAGCTCTGCAGTTGCATATTAAATATGTGCTGTGGGATTTCCAGTTTTTGTACTTCACTGGAATCTGTCTAATGTACTTCTTTCCAGTAGAAATAGAGTGTGGTACAGTACTGAGAATTCTTACAGGTATTGGGCTGTAGAGTGTGGTACAGTACTGAGAATTCTTACAGGTATTGGGCTGATAAAATACAGTCCTTGGGTTCTTACAAGTCTTTTGCTTTTTTCTACAAGTAAGTTCATGTTGTTAACTACACATTTTCAGAGATATTTGTCTGTTACAAGAGCATGTCCCATAGCTACAGTGCTGATGGATGTTATTTTCATGATGAGAGAAGTAGGTGTTTTTCATTTTACTGTTGTACCTGAAGGTTATCTGAAAAATACATTTGCCTTACGATTTTCAGAATAAATACTGTTAAACCTTATTTTTCAGCTTTCCATTGCAGATAAAGACAATTTTTAATGCCCTAACTTAAATTAGTTTAATTACAAACTATAGCCTTATGTTGGTCATTTTGTGCTGAGATCAAACATGAACTGAGATGACTTCATGGGTGTTATTTTCCAGCCTTATTATTATTTGTCTCTAAGTTATATCAAAAGATGTCAAAGGCTTTCTTCAGTCTGTACTTTTGTGGTCTGAACTATCCTTAATGGATGTTTACACCATTTGGGTGAGACCATTATGAATCTGTTTTCTTTCTGTGTTTTTTTAAACTAGCACCATTGGTACATCAGAGACTTCAATGCTATTTTCAGGCTAGTGTAGAAATATGGAAGTTTGATGTGTGGTCTCATTATACTGCTATCTGTTTCTGATGGCAAGGCCTGAGATTCTTTCAGTTTATACGGAAATGACTGCCTGCCTTCAAAAGTTGCTGGTTGCTGAGAGCATGTTCTCAGATGCTAGCCTGAGAGTAAGCTAACTCCTCTAATGTACCTTCTCAGGACTCAGTTCTGACATTGCCTAGATTTTGGATAAATGTATCTACTATACTGTTCAAACAGCATCTAATATTCCTGTGTTGTATAAACAACACAAATAGAATAGTTTGCTATTAAATAACATAATTTCTTGTAAATTAAGGGTTGGTTTTCTTGTACTGAACTTACTCTATTTGATTGTCAGTGACAAGAGAGGTGGTAAGTATTTTGTTTTTCAGGTGTAATGTTGTTGTAACTCAACCTCAGAAATTAATATATAGCTGACAGGAGATTCCCTTGTATTTTATTATTTGGACTCCAGAGAGTGCAAGCTTTAATTGAAAAAGTTAACAAAAACTACACAGCTAGTGCTGTTGTAGCCTTACCTTTTAGAAAGCAATAGGCTTGGGAAATATGGATAGGTCTAGTTCAAATCAAAGACAAGTATTTGTCAAGGTTTTAATTTGCTTGCACAATTATATCTGCTATACTTACAAAACTGTGTATAGATATGAATAATCCTATCAAAAAGGACAAGAGTCTTGAAAGTACTGTGAGTATTCTCCCTAGTGTATAATTCTGTGCCATAGTAACTTCACAACTTTCAGATCTTGTATGTAACACAACAGCTGTTGTCTACTGGGGTTTGTTCGGGGTTTTTTCTTATATTTTGGTTTGTTGGGTTTCTGAAAAAAAAAAAAAATTTGCTTCCAGCTCCTGTCTGGGAATGCTACTTTACGAGGAGGCTGTGGCATGAATCCTAAATCCTGCAGTATGTTAGGAAATTGCAGTACCAATTTCATCTCTCTAGTTGAGGATGTTCAGTGCTTGTCAGGGTCAGTTTCTGCATTAAAATCTAGTATTGGTGTATATAGTTTACCAGTCTTCATAGAGGAAAGTTTGTTCCTGTTCTAGCTCACAGTGTAATTATAAAAAGTTATTAAAGGAGATTACTAAACAGACCTCGTTGGAAAAAAGTGTACTGTAAAGTGATTAAGAATTGCAGGGTTTGGTACTGTATTTTTACATGTTCTCACACATACTAACCAACTCTTATGCTCTTTGGTTTTTAGGTTGTTGAAGACTGGAAATTTATTGCTCAGGTGCTTGATCGAATGTTCTTATGGACTTTTCTTCTGGTTTCAATAATTGGATCACTTGTGTTATTTATTCCTGTTATTCATAAATGGGCAAGTATAATAATACCTACACATATAGGCAGTACAAATGCATAAAATATTTATGGATCTGTCTCCTGCTAATATGTCTCTAAAGAGTTTTGCAGTAGCTCTTTTTCCATGCATGTTTTCCGTAGGCATGTTTCTGATAGAGTTAAAAAAAAAAAAAAATCCAAACCCAGAAAATTTTATATTAAAGCATGGCATCCCTAAGACACATAGAAGTCAATTTGTTTATTGCAAGTCTGCTAAGTTCTAAATTAGGTCAGAATTCAGAGGACTTTCTCAAGCACTTGCATGTATCAAAAAACTGATTCCTGCTGCAAAATAGAAGCATTTAAAGTTTTTAATGTGATCACTGTAGTCCAATTATAACAATTTATATAGTAATTTAATATTGAGTATTAAATATTTGCAGATATTTACACAGCAGAGTTGCCTATTTCTATTTACTATAGTATGCAAGAAAGAATTTTTATCAGCTCTCTTGAACATGTTGTAAAAGTACAAAATTCCTATGGAGTAAACTTAAAATAATAATAAAAATACTGGTTAAACTTCCTCTATATTCAACATAGAAGTAAAAATAGTGATTTGTCTATATTTTGCCTTTATAAATTTTCAGTGGAATTTGCTGCTTAGTTTAAAACCTCATTAATTCTGTCATACTATCATGAACATTTAATACAGTAAGCCTTAAAATGCCTACAGGGTATTGTATATCAGCATCTCAGTATCAGCTATGGAAAGGAAGGCAGAGACAATTAAATGAGTTCCCAAATTGCACAAGTATTCTAATGGGTCAGAATATTCAGATTTCTTCATTCTTGTTGAAGAATTTGATACTGTATGTTATTTGCAAACATGTTAATAATTTCCTGCCTTTGTGTGTTTCTCAGAATTAAGTGTTTAAGCACAAAGAATTTGGGGAATACCTTTCTCAAGGTAATGGATTGAAAATTATTATGCTGTGTAACCAAATACAAATGATCAAGTCTTCACACATTTGTTAAACCAAACTTAGAAAGCTACCTTTAATAGGTTCACTCACTCATAGAACCATATGTAATTCTAAGCAGCAAGGATTTAAAGCTTTCTATACTTTGTTTTTCTGCGAGTGTTGAAAACTAACTTGCAACTTTTTAATTATTCCATTAAAATATATTCTTTAAATACTGATTCTAAATTCTTTACATTTGTTCCAATGCCACCTGTCTTAAAAGCTTTATTTCTGGAAGAGACTTTAAAATAGATGGGGGGGTTTCCTACACCAAAGTTTTGTCAGTGTACTTCATAATATAGTTACATCCTGCAGGGCTAATACGGTAATGCCAAGCTAGAGCAAGTCTTGGGAAGTTTTTATTTGCTTAAACTACTACATTAATAATAAGATGTTTAGGTGAGAAGCTTAATGTAAATCGTGGCATCTCTTACAATGTAAGCTTTTATAATGGTTACGAATTTGGAAAACTAATATGTATTCCACTCTTCCTCCCCCAGTATCTCCTTCAGCTAGCACTGTTTGGCACTGTACTGATTATGATACTGATTGCTTATGTCATAACTATATATAATGGAATATTTATTTCAAATTGTTTCCCACCTGTAGGACATACTTGGATTTGTGTAGCTTTCCAAGGCTCACAGGCAAGGAAATGATGCCAGGCAATTTTTTTTTTTTTTTTTTTTTTTTTCTTTCTTTTAATACCAGTTCTGATTGTAAAGGGAGTCACTCTTCCTCTTCAGTTCTACAATTACATCTGGCATTTGGATATCCGTATTTCCTCTGTTGCCATCATAATTAAAGGTGAATTTGCAAAGATTATCTGATGTAATCCATTAATATAACAATTTAAACTTTCTCAGTGTTACAAAAACAATGAATCAATGACTTTCTCTGTGTGGAAGTTGCAGAAATGATTTAGATATCTTATTTTCCTCTTCATATGCAAAATTTCTTTTTATAATCCTCCTTGGGTTTGAATTACTGAAGTTTACTCTTAGCTAAACCAAAAGCCAAGTAAGTATAACTATAGGTTAGATATATATACATACATATATATATATATATATATATAATTTTTTTAATTCCCCGCCTCATCTCTTTCTCCTTGTTAGATGATGTCTGTACACTGCCCAATTATATCATAAGGTGATTGGCAGCATATTGGCCAATGAAGTCCCAGTCTCTATACCAGTAACTCACAGTTTTTGCAAATGCATGAATTTTAGTCACTTCTATGATCTGATCATGGTAAATAAAGATAAGATAGCTGTTGCTAGAATCCTTGGGCTCTTCAACTTATCAAGTGTGTCCGAAACAAAATCATTTTAATGGACTCAGAAGGATAGAACTTTACTTATGTGACTTGTTTCTGAATGTGTTAAACTGTAGCTAATGCTACATCTAGACTTTTGTCACTAGGTCAAAATAAATGGAAAAAAGACACAATTTTCAACAACTTCTCTTTATTTTCACAAATGTTACATCACTTGATACACTGTATTTCCAAAAAGTTTCCATTTTGGTACAGAGAGAACAGTTCATATTTTTACAAAATATTTTCTCATTACAGTATTTTGTTGCATTGTTTATTCATGCTTTTGAATTATCTGCAGTCACTGATTTTTATTTTTTTTTTTAAAAGTTACACCTAAGAAGCAATTTTAGTATACTTTACAGGACTATTTTGTATCCACTTGCCTTCTCTTGTCATAAAACTCTTCATTCTAACAGGATGCTTCTGTATCCAAACTATCCCATAAAAGTATTTTGATCCTTTGCATAACCTGCAGAGTGCATCCTGGTGTGTGTTTTACTTGTACACAGATTTAAATGTTATTAGTTTTGAATAGCTTCTTTTGACCGACAGTCTTCTCATACATTGAAATATGGGGATGCAGAGAGTTCACATTATGGCTGCTTTCTTACTATGATCTATTATTTACCTGTTTGTTTTCCTTTTGTCATAAACCTGCCCATGGTCCTTTCTTCCCACTGCTGGAGTCAGTTTATACACCAGGTGGCAATGTCTGCATTTAGTGATTTGCCATGTATGCTTCCTAACCTGTTTTGTCCTCATGAGGGCATTCATTGAACTCAGTATGAACTTATTCCCAGAAGATCCTGTCGTGGCCTGAAGAGACTTGACACCAGACTCATAGAAACAAGTCTAGTAGCCCAAAGTATTAAACCTGTCTTGACTTCTGCATATTCATGTAACTTTTCAGTTTCTTTATCAACCTCTTCTTAAACCATTCCTGTAAAATTTAATGTATTACCTACATCATTTCCAGTTATTGCAAAAAATAGCTGTCAAATGTAGCTCATATTACTTTATTACTTTAAAATTAGCTGTCATAAAGGTTAAAAATATTTTTTGTTCACATTTTTCACAAAGCTTTCTTGGTCAAGCAAAGTTGAGGCTAGGAGAGATCTGTATTCTACTACACATAGAAGAGACATCAGATGTTGGGGTGGGGGAGCAGAGTTGGTTGGCAGAAGTTTTATTTGATTTTACAACATACGATTTAATATTTACATTTCATCTCCAGCCATCAAAGGTTGTAAAAACAACCCTGCGGTTCCTAGAATACATACCAGGATGAAAACCCATAGAAAAATACGATCGATTACCATGGCAACATATTTCCAGTCATCCTGAATCTGAAAAAAAAAAAGAAAATAAAATTGAACAGCAAGTAGGCATGTTAATTAGATTAATAACTTGCATTAGCAATTAGTACCACTTTACTTAGGAAGCACAGGTTTTTTCCATATGTAGATGTCTTTCATGCATGCACAACTTGCATATCTCTGTTTTCATTGACAAATGAATTCATCTTGAAGAAGCTTTATTTGAATATGCTGTTTGTGGCGAAGCCAAAGCTGCTACTTCAAATACAAAAAGTTGTTCACCAAGACACTGGACTTCATGAGATACAACTTCTCTTCTGCATGCCAAAAATGAAAGTGAAAAGCTTTACATTCTTAGGTAAGGTTTGTCCAGAAAACTTCACTGAAACAGACTGCTTCTACTGGTCTTTAGGCAATATGTAAGAAGACAAAGGCCAATTGATATATAATTATATGAATTGATATATAATTATATGGTGCGTTTCTTATGCAGTACTGAAATTTGATTTTCTCATGCATCGTGTGAAATTAATCTCCTTACCTTTCATCTAGAGAAGGAACCAAGTTTCCAAAAACCATATTTTTCTGATATTTTTCACAGTGGGCATTATAACAAGAATGACACTGAAGTATTACTTATGCTATATATTAACAGTAATTACATTATGAGATAATTTTTGTTACTCTTGAGATTATAATTTAAATTTTTTCTTCATTTTTTCTTCAGGCCAGTGAACTAGTTGATTACATTGTACATTTGGTTTTGAAATTTTGTGCTTTTCAGCTTAGAACTTGTTTGTTAAGGCAGACAAAAATCCCCAACAAACCAGCCCCATATTTTGTATGCCAAGTAATTCTGAATAATGTTCTGATTTCAGCATAAACAACTTCACTCGAACTTTAAGTGCCATACAGCAGAGTGATTGTAGTGATGTGGCTACTGCCTCTTAGTATGTTTGAGGAACTTGATAAAAAGGAAACTTTAAATATTTTTTTATTGCCTCAGGATGCACTTTTATGAAAGATGATGGTCCCCATCCTGCAGCAGTTGTCTCATTTAGCTACAGCACTTTGCGCAGCAGAATAAGCGACATCATCACTGTGAAGGACACTCATTCTTATGTTGTTATTGATGGTAAGCTGTGGGAGGGAGAATGTAACTTTCTAAAGGCCACAGAGTCAACAAATTCCACTATTAAGATTATAACTTGGAAAATCCTCACTCTGAATCTTGTAGGATGGATACTCATGTGTTTCCCTAGCAGTGGTTACCTTAACATGCTTCACTCAGTGTTGTCAATAAAGAGAATATTGTACAACAGAACTGCTCCCCAATATTATCTACATTCAAAATTGCACATATTTGTAATAGAGCTTGGGTAATTTATTTGTATAAAATAATGGTCTGTGTTGTCCTTTTGTTTTGGCATTGTTTTTTTTGAGATCTCTCTTTCTTACAAAACACACTAATGGCAAATGGTGTTTGCTGTTTGAGTAATAGTAAAATATATTCTTACCTCTTTTGCTTCATTCTGCATTTTCATGTTTTCTGCAATGTATTTAACATTTTCAATAGCATCTCTCATTTCTGGTGACAGAACTGAAAATGAAAACAGAGGATCTACAGACTCGGAGCTTGAACTTCTTGTGAGATTGCCACTGAAATCCGAGAGCTTCATTCGTTGATACTGACAGCAGCTGCATGCCGTATCTTGACATACAAAGCCCTCTTTGCAGCATTTGGTTTCAGAACTGTTGAAGCAATTTAAGTTTGAGAACTCAGAAGTAACAAATGGTTTTGGCTTCTGATTATTCTCTTCATCATTGGCAGGCCTTGTCATAAACATGATCCTGGGAAGTAAGTTCAGGAAAATGGTTCTCACCCACACAGGCATTGTGTGTGTCTTGGGTGTTCTGTAGTGCACGTTAAGTACAAATACTGTAATGACAATAGATAGAGTTACAAATATCATGGTGAAAAGGAGGTATTCCCCAATAAGTGGAATTACCAGAGAAGTAGAAGGTATGGTTTCTGTGATAACAAGAAGGAACACTGTTAAAGATAGAAGGACTGATATGCAGAGTGTAACCTTCTCACCACAGTCTGAAGGCAAATAGAAAACTAAGACTGTCAGAAAAGAAATTAGCAGACATGGAATAATCATATTGATAGTGTAAAATAAAGGTAAACGCCTAATGTAAAGAGAATAGGTGATGTCTGGATATATTTCTTCACAGCAGTTGTATTTGATGTCATGTTTATACCCAGGAGCTTTAATAATAGCCCATTCTCCACTCTCCCAGTAATCTTTCAGGTTCATTGTAGAGCCAATTAAAACTAAGTCAATTTTGGCTTTATCATAAGACCAGGAACCAAACTTCATAGTGCAGTTCTGATAGTCAAATGGGAAGTAGGTTACATCTATTTTACATGAGCTTTTAAATATAGCCGGAGGTATCCAGGTCACATCACCCGTGTACTTTAATAGGGCCTTTGTCTTGTCATCAACCTGGAAATCCCCAACTGCACTGTAAGGCAAATAAAAATAACAAAAATTAGAATGCAACTACTCCAGGTAGTTTCATACATTCAGATTGTATACATTAACTCTTTAATCTGTTTTGGGAAAGTCAGCAATTGCCTGTTGACAGGGAGCTGATTTGCATGTGCAGGACTAAGTCAGTGGCCATCATAAATTTGCATAGTTAAACTAAAACAGCTGTACACATTTACCATGGAGGGTTTGAAAGGAAATATTCTCCCTTATAATAACATGGCTCAGGACAATCAATATTCAAAACAGCAAATAGGAGATTGCAAATGGCAGTCCAACTAGATGATTGTCTTAGGTCCCTTTCACCTGAACTATTTTATTCTATTCTGTTCCAGATCAAGCTCATCAGAACCCAAGGGCTGATAAGAGGATACCTGTAGTACTGCTATTTCCACCTCTTCTGCGGGCAGTGCAGGCAGTAACTATGGAAAGAGTGATTGGGGTGCATCTTTGCATAAGGAGTGTATTTGGTGAGGTTTCTTTTAAGTCCCACATTGCTATCCTGATCACATGGATCTTATATGATCCATGCAACAATTTCAGTTGTTCATATGAAAAAGTAAAACTAAAAAGATAATTTAAAGGGCATAGTTAGAAAAGGAGCATCATCACTTTTTCCATAGACCTGTTTTGGATCTGTGTAGCTAAGTCCTGTTCCCTGAGAACTGCTTCCCTACATAGCAGAGGGATCCATTTAGTTATGGTTTGGCTCCTCACAGTCTCAGAAACTGATAACGCAAAGTAAACTTTACCTGTGGCTTTTAGATGTCAACACTATTATTGTAAAGCTATCAAATTGAGTTGAACAGCTGAAGAGCTAGAATTTGCAGGCTTTTTCAGTTAAAGGTCTGACTCACAGACAAGAATTCTAAGGGAATTTCTTGCCACCTCCCTTGTAGACAGTGATAAAAATAATAGTAAAAGTGGGGGCTTGTGAAGGGGAAAGGCAGAGTTCACTTTGGTGTGCCCACTTGCAGCTCCAGGTTAGTGATGCTGATGTAGATGGCATGAGGTGAGTACAGTAGGGAGGGCTGGGACACAGCTTTGTTCAGAAGTGGGCTTGCTTTTTCAGTTTGTTCAGTGAACCTGCTCCTGATTATTTTTTTTTTTTAAACTAGTAACATCACCCCCTTCTTCCTGTATTAAGAAGATAAATAGGCAAGAGTCTTACTTGTTATATAAAACAATATCTGGCTTCCAGATCTGTCCAGATGGTACTCGGATGAATTCAGCACCTCCATAGTCCGCTGGATTCCACCGAAGCTTGTAATCATTCCAGATCTAATTATGGAAGCAATGAGTCTATTTTAGGTTTGTGAAGAAATAGAAATTCAATGGACTAGACTCAAACCAAGTGCTGACGTATCACATCTAGGATGGCTTTATTTCGGATACTGCAGTGATTAGATGTTTCCTTAACAAACATGTATGTCTGGTGTTTGTTCGTGTGGTGACCATGGGTGGGTCTCTTGGTCTAGATGTGACTTGGACAGGTGTGTTGCTGTGTCCTAGGAATGTCCACTCAGTAGTCCTCTCCCCGCGGCTCAGGCGGACTCGAGGCAGTTGACACGCTGCCGGACAGGCACCAAAGGCGGCGCTGCCCCCGAGGGGGAGGCTCGGCCCGGGGGGCAGCGCCGCCTTTGGTGCCTGTCCGGCAGCGTGTCAACTGCCTCGCGTCCGCCTGAGCCGCGGGGAGAGGCCAAGCCTCGCCTGAGTGAGCGGCAGCGTGTCATGACTGGCACTCGCTTAGGCTGCAATGAAAGGCAGTGCTATGCCAGAGTTTTTCTGACATACCGCTCTGCAGATGGGTTAAAAAATAGTTTCAGGGAGTTAGCGAAGAACCGGAGGTGCAAAAGCACTTTCCCTCACAGGCCTAGTCCCCTAGACCTGCTGAAGCTGCAGGGGTGGGGAGCAGAGGAAGGGGAAAGTGTAACCCAGCAGGGCAGGCGGCTTGTAGGCTGTCAGAGCGTTTTGCAATAGGAGGACAAGCTGGAAATGAGAACTCTGATTTCTAGCCTGAGTAACAGGTGTGTGAGTATAGTGATGATAACAGCCTGCTTGTTAAAGTATGAAAAAAAGGATTAAAAATTGTTTGACCATAATATTAAAAGACTTCAGCACATTTTTAAAAGTGTGTTAATTACCCATTCATTTTAAGTAATTTCTATTTATAATACATTCCTATTGCACATTTTGCTGTTCATGGTGCCCATGGCCAACAGAAAAGCTGCAAACAAATTCTTAAACAAGGTCTTTCAACTGTTTGGGATGAGGTATGAGAGCCTCTACTTCACACTACCTTTTTATGCTTGGAGCTAGCTAGGCAATAACCCTCCTGACAGCTTGGCACTATGTAAAAGCCAATGGCCTTTTGTTTTTAGGGGACTCTCCCTTAAACTCTCTTCTGGATGACATGTCCTCAAGCACTCCAACTGAAAACCAAAAGATGGCCTGTTTTGTCATTTATGGATGACACTGTGAATTTTGCAAAGGCACAGAACTGAAGTCTGTTGAAGGTACTCTACAGTTCCTCTGAAACACAAATACGAATCTACAGATATTTGCAAGGACATGTGTGTTGTCAGAGTTGTTTTCCAGCAGAGAAAGAGACGAGAGGCAGAGGGATCTGCAGGTGACTGGTCTGTAGTGTTTCACAAAGCGGGTTTTACTTCTCGATCTTTGTGAGAGCTCCCCTCTCCCTAAGATAAGAGGGTCCCCCTCATGTGAAACTGTATTCAGCTAAAAGTGCTTCCCACCCCCTTTTTTCCCCCTCTTCTTTTTTCCACTTGGAGGGCAATGTTATTTTCAGATTAGTGAAATCATTCAAGTCAACTTGCTAACTGAAAAATGAACACATTTCTTTCACACTTTTTAACTGTTAGCATTGTCTTTGTTATTTTTGATATCTCATGTCTCAGATCAAGATTTTCTGGAATAAGTACTCCCAAATATTTTAGGTAAATAATTTTAAAGCTAGACCTTATTATAGTCAGTACCAAATTGGCAGCCTTTTTACATGTCACTAATTAAATCTAGCATTCACTGTACCTAGAGAAGTGCATTAATGTGTTGGGGTTTTTTTTTAAATTTTGGTGCTTTCCATATCTGCAGAGAGAAGGTGCACTGTTCGCAGCACGTATTTAAAGCCATTTAATATAGTCACTTTCTTGCGATCTTCTCTACAATATGTAAAACCAAGCCTTTACATGTAAGGCCATTTCTCTTCTTAATATTAAAATGGCTTTGTGTGTCCTGTTTGGCATCTTGTATCAGGACTACTTGACTACTTTACAAGGAGAAAAAAAAAACAACAAACAACTATGTAACAAAAAGAGCTGTATGTTTATCCTTTAGATTGGAGCGAGCTTCAGCACTTCTTAAAAATGATTTGCACCAAAACCATCTCCTGTTTGCCTTTTCAAACCCCCCTTCACCAACAAAGAATAAACAAATTAAGGATCACTCACCTTGACAGAGAAAGCAAACAGCAGCTGTTAAAAGGAGAGCGTGCGTGCTGTCCATGGTGTTATGAATTACTGCCTGTCGACAGAGGCTGTTGAAGATGAGCTTAAGCTGCCAGGATTGCATGAGCACAGGAAGTACAGAGAGCTCCGCTTCTCTGATGCGTGAAACGCCTGGAAGCAGCAGACAGCAGGACCCTGAACACAGTTCTGCGCAGTGAGCTCCCATTAGGTTTGCTGTGCTGCCCCCTTTCTAGCTACCCAGGCTGTCAGAGCACTGGAAACAGCAAATAATTTGCAGGCAAAACAGATGTTACTGTAGGCAAAGAGCAGTCTTCTGGCAAGGGTAATAGGCAAGAGTCCTTCAACTGGTGCATAAATGAACCTGGTAATCTGACAATGCTAAAGATTTTTCCAATCAGCTACTATATAGGATCCTTCTTTACTAGAAGCTCAGGCCAATCTACTAGGAGAAGTTTAATTAATAAAAATCTTATCACTGAATTGTGCTGAAATGGATATTGACATTAGGGATGCCTGATTTAGCAGTGAACTGAGATCATGGGACTGAATTTCCAATTATGCTGTTAGTGTTGAGGGTTTTTTCCTGCCTGTGTCTCATCTTGTAAGCGCATGTGCTAGGTGTCTGTGTGTAAAAAGGATGTGCTCTTCCCAGGGGTAATTAAAGGAATGTACAACTGTTGTCAGGATCTAAACCCAAGCTGATATACGTTGAGTTGGAGATCAAACTTGACCAAAATCTTGTCAGTAACCGTCTTTGGACTATTACCAATTTCATGCGTTAGAAAGATGAAATTTGGGAAGGGGAATTAAGAGCATAGGATGTCAGCTTGATCCCACAAACACTTACTGTTCAGGGGGAAGGAGATGGGGGAGAATGGAGAGTTGTGTTTGAAGCTCAACCATAAATTTGCATAGTGGCTTATTCCCCAGGTGCCCATCAGCTTTCTTGTTAACTTGTATGTTACTTTTTTCCCCCCCTTGAATGACCAGGTGATGCAAGGCACATGCATACACATGTGCACACATCTGGGCAGTCTGTGTGGAGAGAGGAGGGGGAGTGAAAAATGTGGGATTCCACCCACGTTTTTGGAAATGACAAGATGGAGGCCCTGTGGGACAGGAGGCTGCACCCAGTGGGTGCTTCACTCTCCGCTGTTAGGGAAGGATAAACGATGACCCCATTTGGCACTGTGTTAAGAGACAGCACTGGGAGAAAAAGCACCAGGCTGGGTTCAGCTCAGTGGCTCTTGGCACAGAGCTTGTTTATCCTCTCTACCCTATCTTTCAGAGCATCATCCACTCCATCCCCAGACACATGCTCTTATGATAATTTCTGTAATTCTATTAGCTTGGAGGAAATAGGCTTTACTGTCCATTTGATTTTATTTCTTTTTTTTTCCAGCAAACTCAGATGCTTGGTCTTTTAGCTTAACCCTTTGTGGATACATTTTTTTGCCTTTCTGGCCATTGAGACTAGATGTTTTCCCTTTGTGCCTTCTTGTTTTCCATGTATAAGCAGCATTATAACTGAAACTTTGTTTCTTTTTAGTCCCTACTAGAAATGAGGTAAGGCTTCAAAGATCAGATCATAACCCATGTTCCCCAGAAGTCAGTGCTTAAACTTGAATGATTTGGAAACATCTGATCTGCAGAGGCGGCAAAGAGCCATTGCATTAAGAGATACAGGTATTTTAGCTTAATTTGCCTAGTTACTGAAATTTTCAGTGGTGTTTGTATGAGCAGATACTTTGTTTCTAACATCAGATGCTGGGGCTCCTGGTGAAATCAGCACAAGTTTGTGGTAGGATTATTTTTATGGCTAGGGAGAGTGATGTGATAAGAACACGTCACCATGACTGCATTGCAGAACTACATAGGAGAAGAATTTGTATGGGTAGGGGTAAGCTGATCTACCCAAGAAGATCTGCAGTAGCAAACTATGTAGCCTTTGCTTTTTAATAAACATGTCACTTTTAGAGTTGTTTTGCTTTGTTGAGATCTGTTAAGATCAAATCTTAATCAGCTCAGGTGATGAGTAAAATAATATTTTCCCCCCTTTGCCTGGGGTATTGATATTCCCTCCATAAAAATCCAAATCTGCTGGTCTTTCTAGTTTGCTGTGGCTGCAGGTTTGCCAAAACAATCCCAGATAGGCTCACCTGGACGCAGATGGTACATGTGTGTGGTGGGGGTGGCACTTCTACCTGTTCTGATGGAAGAGAATTGGTCAGCGTTAAAGTTTTGTAATGGTAGGGAATGAGGAGGGAGCCAGCAGAGGCTTTTCCTCACTAGTGGGGAAGGAAAGGATAGTTGCACACTGCCACTGAAAAACAGTTCTAGTGAAAAATACATTTTGAATGACAACTTTTCTCTTTTTTTTTTTTTTCTCATAAAAAGCATTACTGTAAAACCCCTGAAAACTGGAAATGTTGAATTTTATTTTGTTTGATGAACAGGGACCTTACCATATTCATATTAGACTGCAAGATGACATTTTAAACATTTATTTTCTCCAGAAATCTTTTATATTTGAAAATTTGCCAAAAAATCAAAGCAGAAAATCCTACAATTCTTTGATAAGTTAAACTGGGAAGAGTTCTATGTATTACATAGGTGGAACTGCTGAGGGTTAGGCAAAAATAGCATTTTCCATTTTGAAAGCACAGTTTTAGAAGGTCAGATTTTTCAAAATTTTAGGACTTTGGGTGAAATTTTCCATTCTGAAGTTTGCTATGGATTGAATTATTTTTGGAAACTTAAAAAAAATTACAGTCGTGGTTTCCAAGAACATAACTAGGGAACAGTATATTGCTTCACTTGTGATTAAAAAAGGAGTAAGTGGCTACAGTGTACGGAAAGCACCAGAGCCCACCATTTCCTGGATGAAGAGCTCTAGTTCTGAAGGGATCTCCTCGGGGCCAGTGATGTGCCTTTTTTAAGCTTTTGCTGGGTTTATCAAATCTGAGGCCTCCATCTGCCTGTGCTCTGTGTTAGCTGCTAGCTGAGCCGCCAAATCCTTTCTAAAACTTTTGTCTATGCTGGGGATAATTCAGCTGAAGGCTGCAGTTACAGAGCCAAGCATTATCAGTTATTACTGCTTGTAAAGATAAGGCCAGCCAGGAGATGGAAGCACTGGAGGGCTCATTTCAGTCACATTCAGGCAGTGAGGGGCAGGATAAGAAGTAGAAGAAGGGACCGGAGTGAGAAGTAGTGATTGGTAGGAGGGTGAGAGGAGGGCAGAGACAAAAGTGCTGTTGGTGCTGGGTGAAAAGAGCAGCCAGAGGGTCTCTGCTCTGCACAGGTCCGGTGTCAGTCGGGTGGACTGCAGGGTCCATGGCTGACTTCCTGCACCCTTGGTTGCTTGGGTGGCTGAGTCCCTCTCCCTTCTGCCCTGCAGGAGTGTGTGGTAGCTCACAAGAGTGTTTAAGTCTGTGCTGAGGTCTGCCATGCCTCTTGCAGAGCCATTGTTCAGGGTTAGTGTGGGATTTAAAGGGGCTTCACCTTTACACGGTCTGCACAGTGCTGGCAGCTGCTTTGGCTTCCCTCTGGCTTCTCTGTAAGCAGAAAAAACTGTTCAGCAGCTGGGAGATTGTGTGCACGTGTGCTTGCGATGTTCTGTGCCACATCAGCTCCTGGCATGTAACTAACATAGAGGAGCATTTTCCTGTGTGGCTGAGGGTACCCCTCTGCTTCTGACAGGCTCCTGTGCCCCATCTCACATCACAGCTGTTGTTTCAGTTGCCTGCGGAGAAATAGCTCTGCTCTCTCAGTTTGAGAAGGAGAAGACATTTGAGGCGGGGAAAGCAGGTTTGACCCATTTAAACTTTACACCGCCCACCAGCCACCACGGGAAATGTCCAGAATGGTTAACGTCTGGGGAGATGACCAGAGCATTGCTACCCTCTGGGAGAGGAGGATGTGGCAGCTTCAATGGTCACAGGGCACACCTGCATTTATAGGGCAGTCCTACAGTTATCCTTCACCTTCTTCCTACAGTCATCCTTCACCTTCTTGCCCTGTCTTCAGTGATGGACACAGATACAGTGCATAGAGGAAGGTGAGTGGAAGTGTGGATGGCAGTGTTACAACCGTACTGTCTTAGAGCATAGACTGAAGGGAGATGCTGCTGCTGCTGACCTAGTCTCACCCATCCCACTTCTGATACTTTTTCATTGTATCTTTCCTAGGCTGCGGTGCACCAGGCCACTCTGCGGTGCTCAGGCCCTCAGGAGAGCCCTTCCAGTGCTCAGGGGTGGGTGTGCGGCTGCAGTGCTGGGGAGTTCAGCACGTGGGCAGGGAGGGAGAGAGCACAGGACTCGGCAGAGCTCCTAGAGTTGCTTTGAACAATTGGAAAGGTGTTGGTGTAGCTTAGACATGTCTAAATCTATGTAGTTATCTGTTGGTGTAGCTTAGACATGTCTAAATCTATGTAGTTATCTGTAGCTGCCTGGGAATGATGATCTAGAGAGGTAGCTCAGTTTGATGAGGGCAAATAGAGCCAGAGCTGTCTTCATCTGTGGTTTGTTGAAGAACACAGGTTTAGGTGTCAGCTAATCCTCCCCTGGGACAGGTGGGCCTTAAATCCCCTTCACAAGTAGTAGTGGATTTTAACAGTTTGTTCACCAGTCATTACTTGTACCCATCAATGGTTATGTGTTCCAACAGCACCCTGAGGAAAAGGTGAGATTGATTTAGCTTCAAAAATGCCAGGAGCCCACTTCTCTTTTTGCAGGTTACAAGCTACCTGGAACAAAGTGTGGTGGGATTGTGCTGTGATGGGAGTCTAGGGCCTTGATCTGTCCTTTGCCAAAGACTTTCAGACTGTGCTTTCCTAGCTAATTTTTTGAGGATTACACTTAGATCTACATTAAAACCTCCCCAGCAAAATATGCAGGGCTGTTTGTTCTCAGGTGTCTTCTCGTTCTAGCTGCCTTTTACAGCTCTCTTCTCTTGATGCTTTCCTGTGCTCTTAGCCTTAGATTCATTGAAGTGTGTATGAACCCGTTACATGAGCTGTTAAAGTTGCAGGAACATTTCAGGATTAAATCTGTATAAAGGAAAATTTTACATTTTATTTATATTTCATGATTGAACAGAGTATACACATGTTTGTTTATCATATATTAATTTGGCCTCTGTTGATCACTCAGCTATCAGAGATGGCAAGGTGAGAAACTTGTTAGTGGTTACCTCAGAAGTATGTCTCTGTTTCTCAATTAAATTTTAAATATCATAAACAGCTAAACAGTGATTCCAGCTGTAAGGCTCTTTATAAATCAGACACAGTTTTGATGCATTTGAAGGAAATAAATGTCATAGCAATACCTTCTTTGCAATAGGGAGTATTCTAAGGAAAGAAAATGTCCTTCCTGTGGCAACATATGTAAAATACTTTTTTAATAATGCTTGTGAGCCAGGATGTCATATTGTCCAGTAAAAGCCTTTCTCTGTAATCTTCAGGCTTTAAATAATTGAAAAAAGGGCCAAGATATCACCAGAAGTACTGAACTAATTGGAAAAAATAATAGTTCTCTGTTTGTTTTGGGGTTTTTCTCCAATCATAAGTTGTTGAGTTCTTCTTTCCATTTCCCTATCTAAATTGCATGTAAGAGCAACTCATTTGGCATCTCTGAATTTAACAGAGGGAAACTGAGAGCAGAATGAGACCAAACATCTATGTAAGTCTTGGCAATTTTAAATGACGACTAAGGGTTCATTGCAGCAGTGTGGTTTTGAAAAAGTGGCTGCAGAAATAATCCAACAGTCCCCAGGACACAAACAAGGACAAATATCCAGAGAAACAGCCTGTCCACTACCATGGCAACATACTTCCAATCTTCAATGACCTGGAAGAAAAATCCAATTAAAGATATTAGCAATTTGTCATATCCTTTTTCCTCTTGCTAATGCCAAGTTTTTGTTTATGAAAATAAAGGGAAACAAACCTCAAGGTTCAGGGAATAAACTGACTAGGCTTGGTAAGGGATTTTTCTCCTACAATCATTGTGGACAGTGGAGAAAAATACTGTAAATATTTCTTAGATATCTTGGATGCATCAGGTACTGAGCACGGCCACCTGGTGGAAGCCAGTCTGGAAGGTCTCACGGTATAATCCAATTAAGGAATTTTTTTCTTTAATTTTAGTTTGCAGATGCTATTAATCACAGTGGACAAAAATAGATGTTGTTAAGCAAGGTTAGCTTTAGAATTCTTTTCTTATCAGCAGTCATCTTAATCAAGTGTTTTAATGCATATTAATACTGTTGCTTTTATTAAAATCCCTTTTTGCCTTACATATGTTGTCTGTGAAAGTCATGGCCTTAGATTCTGTTTTCAAACTGAAGTGACTATCAGGCTATTATTGTAAAGGGAGAATATATCAGTCTTCATTTGCATCTCAGGAATGATTATTTTTTCCTCTCTCATTCATCCTAGTTACACAGGGGACATCCTCACCCCAGTGACTTTACCATACTTGTCAGTTATCTCCTGTCTCATATTAGAACATCACATATTTTTTCTTCAGTGCACACTTTTATTTTCCGCTGCTTCTAATGGGAACTGTGTGCTTCTGAGATCATACTGTAGTAAATGTACGTGAGCAGTTCTTATCAGACTATGATAATGAAGGAAGAAAGCAGAGATTAAAATTATGAATCTGGAGAAGTGACATGTAGTAATCAGAGGACCTTGTATGAAAAGCATCCAATTAATTTTTAGTGTATAAAATACCCTTGAAAATTGTTCTTAATATCAACTGGAAACTTTGTAGTTCCTTTAGTGTGCAACACATTCTTGTAAGAACTCCTGAACTATTAGAAAACTTTTTTTCTACTCTGTGAAGTCTGCTTCTGTTCAGCCAGTTTCAATGTTTACAAGCTCATGTCTAACGTTAATAGCTAATCTTCTTTATTTATATTGACACTAATTTCAGTTAATAGAAAACATGAACTACTCAGCGGCATGATCCTCAAGGGACTTCTGCAAGATCAGAAAACAGACATTATTTAATAATCTTCTTGGCTGAGGGAGGACGAGCACAACAGGAACGGAGAACCTAGAGTCTGACTGGGATCTGGGTCAGAGAGAGGAAGGTATGGCTGGTAGGTATGAAGATGATTTTTCCCAACCACGGGTGCTAGTCTAAACAAAACTCTGAACCATCTGTGTTTTTCCAAGCATTATCACACCGTATTTATATCAACTTCAGTGTGTTAGCTAGTAGGACATGAGTAGGATAAGTGAATAGGGCAGCAGCAGCACTGCTTAAGTGCATCCTGGATAAAGCACTTCTCATAGCCAATAACGAGTCTGATTTAACTCAAATGAAGGAAGTGTCAGCTCTGCTGGCATTAGGATTTTGATCCTACCCATTATGTTCACCATATACGTACAGATATAATAGCCTGGAGAGGATGTTTGCGAAGGTGTTTTACCAATTTTACTAAATCCTCCTCCTATGCCCAGTTACATAAATAAATGCTTGAGCTGCGGGTAGATTGTTGCTGGTTAACATGGCCTGGCCATGTGTTGAGTCAGTCTTAGTGAATACAATGGGGAAAAATATTCTTTTTCTGACCTGGAACTGAATATATATATATTTTTTTTTCCCCTGACAAACAGTACTTGAATATGACAGCACAGCTTTTTCAGGGGTGTTTCATGACTTACTGGGCAATCAGCATTCTCCCTCTGTAGAAATAGCCATGTTACTTTCCAGGACAGTATCAGCATTTACCAAACTGCTATTCAGTAAGTTCTTTTAATGGCAAAAATTCTTTCTTCTTATAAGCTATAGCTAGAATCTCTCTAAAAACTTTAGAATAGCTAGGGAGTTCAAATATGCTTTCTGAAGAACAGTGTGTTACAGAGGAGGACAGGAGATGAAATTTGGAAAGACTGGGATGATTTCTCAATTTTACTTACACTCTGGTCGTTGTCATCACTTTTCATGTGCTCTGCTATAAAACTGACTCCATCAATTGCTTCCTGGACTTCAGGAGAAAATTTTGTGCCTGTTCTTAATCTAAAATCTCGATGACTGCTGACATTGTCAAGAGTCTCAGTGATTTTCATATCATATTTTTTGGCAGGGGCTGTATTCAAGAAATAGGTAGAGTTCTTGTAGAAGTTGGCTGGCTCCATACAAGGATTCTCTGCTTTTGTCTTTTTGCAGTTGCACAGCTTTTGCCGTGGAGAGTTATTCTCTGGACGCCTCATGAACAGGTAGGCTGGGAGTCTTTCAAGGAAAACCAGCTTTACCCAAGGGGGCATAGTGTGAGTACTTGGAGATCTGTGGTGGACGTTGAGTACACAGACACTGGTAACTATGGAGAAGGTCACTAGTACCATTGTAAACATGAGATATTTCCCAATCAGTGGAACATCTAAAGATGTTGGAGGGACAATTTTGGAGATCAGCAGCAAGAACACAGTCAAGGCAAGCAATACAGATATGCATAAGGTCATTTTTTCACCACAGTCTGAAGGCAAGTAGAACACCAGGATGGCTAAGGATGTAATTAGCACACAGGGAATTATAAGATTGATGGTATAAAAAAGAGGCTTCCTTTTAATAATGAAGTCATATGTCACATCGACATAATTGGGGTCCAAGGGATTTACAGTCCTTCTTCCTGGGAGTGCTACAATGTCCCACTCACCACTTGGTGTGAAGTCATCCATGCTTGCCGTGGAAGTTTTAAGCACCATATCAATTTCTGTATGATCATATGTCCAAGAACGGAACTTTAATGTGCAGTTTTGTTGATCAAATGGGAAATGCTTAACTTCAATCTTGCAGGCACTCTTGTAAATGGCTGGTGGCAACCAGCGAATGCTTCCATTATTCATTACAATTGCATTTGTGTATAGTGAAACTTCATATGTGCCATCCGCACTGATGAAAGAAGAGGAAAGAAACAGGAGAGAAAATAATAAAACATTAAGAGGAAAAACATAGTTCAAAATAGAAGACCTCTGTCATTCTTGGTCCTGTGGGCCTTAGTTGTTTCTAGATTCAAAGTTTAGTAACATTTTGATTTTGAAATCTATTTAGTAGGGATATAACTTGATAGGGAGATTAATGTATGCACTTCTCCCAGTCAGAGAACTGATATTTGGTCCACTACTTGCAAAAACTATTTCACAAAATTATTATTAAATAATAATCTCTGTTTCATGCAAATAACTCAGAGTATTTTGTAATTGTTTGTTAGAGTAATTAAGGCTTACTACATCTCTGAAGGCTGAATAAAAATGAGATCATCCAGCATGAAAATGGAGGTACCTTTGATCTGGAACACAGCCACTGCTAAGAGCACACAGCAACGCTCCTAAATGACTTGGATGAGGAAATAAGGATGAGCAGTGTTAGTTAGAAATGCAGGGAGAGTGTAGGCAGAGGAAATGTAATTATATGGTTTATAATTCATTGCGTCACTCCACTTAATGTTTACTTATTACAAAACCAGAACAGACAAGCCGCTGTGTTCTTAGTGCCCACAATTAATCTTGGCTTTATATCTTGTCCAACTACCAAACTTCCACCAGGAGACTCTTCTATGGTATGATGGGCCCTTTAATTCAGGGAGAAGATAATTATCAGTCAGCAGTCAATATCTTCTCCTGTCCAATGTTTCTTGGCAAACAACCTAGGGCTGTTTAACCTATGAAGTATCCTGAGGTAGAAATGTGAAGTGGTCATCTGCTGATAAATATTACCGAAATTTAGTGTTTCTGGGTGTATTCACTGCATCTTCTCAAGTGTGCTATGCAACACCTTTCAAACTCAACCTATTGGGCTATCAAAGGGAAGTGTAACAGTAGGAAGGAACAACTATCAGGGACTGTCTTTCTTGACAGATGAGGAAACACAAGGGTTTGTTCCTATGTTGATCAATTGCTTTTATTAAAAACTGGGTTAGCCTCTTCGTTAGACTGCAAAGAAGAGCCTGGACTAGATACATGCCACATGCCTCCTTTGTTAAACAAATATATATTGAAGAAATGCACATAACCTAAAACCAGTACGTTATTTGCAAAAATATAACACCAAACTCACTGCAGGTGTAAATGAATGAAGTTTAACTGACTATGATTAAGTAGCACCTTTTTATTTGAGTAGAAATGTGCCCCTTAAGAGTTAATAAAAAGTCTAATGAATCAATTGTTTGTTTACAAGACATAAGGGAAAATAAAGCTGGTTTGGTGCTAAGGTTGTTGGGTTTTTTTTTTCTAATCAGGGAAGTGCTACAAGTATCCAAGACTTGGCACCTGTGTAGCTGTTCTCCAGATCAGTTAACTTGGCTCTGGAAAGGCCTCATGCTGCAGACCCTGGTGCCTGGCACTGAGCTGGGATCCTTGCAGCTAATTCATGCAGGCAGTGAAACAACCAGATGCAGGAGTGGCTACAGTGTACAAGGGTCATTAGTTCATTGCCAAGAAAATAGCTTTTTTTTTTTTAGTAAAGAAACTGTATCTTATTTCTCACATATCTGTATCTCCCTGAGTTAGATTGACCCTTATGCAGGACAATGTACTGGGTGGACGCCTGGGCTGACAATATGTAGTTTCTGCTGGCTGTGGGACAGAGGCTGGGCTGGTGCCATCTCCGTGCCCCCTGCAGTCCTGTGCACAGGCCACATGCCGTCAGAGCTGGGGGACATGGGGATGCTCTTTCTGTTTTCCTTATCACCTTCTTGAACTGACTGATGCCTGTGAAACACAGCTTCAGCAGCAGAAAGTTAGGAATGTTGTCCTTTATCTAAAATTTTAATTTGAAGCTTTGTACTAATCTAAAAACCCAATATGGTGATGCTACAAGCTTGTTCCCGTACATTTAAGAAGCTCTTAAAACAGTTTCTGTCCGTTCTTACAAGCCATAAATGGTATCATCTGGGGAATAAGGAAGCAAGAAGCAGAGGGTGGGGGCACAATTTGCCAGAACAAGATTTGACCAGGCAGAGTACATCCTAATCCACTGTCTGAATTATTTTGTGACTAATACAGTAGTTTTAAGTATTTCTCAAATCTGATTTCCAGTAGTAGGATTCCAGGGATTTAACTCAGTTATATATAAACTTCCTAGGTTTCCCATCTGTATATGTTCATAAACTGTCATGTGTTCATGAATTAATTTGTTTTCAAAGTATCATGAAAGTATATTATAAGTTCTGATTTTTTTTTCCCCAAAGACTTGATATCATCCAATTCAAGGCTTTGCTAGAGACTTAAAAACAAAACAAAGCACAACAAAATAGTGGTTTGTTTGGCAAAATTGTTTTTTGAAAGAGGAATTGAAGTATGGTTTGGCACCAAGTTTTTATTTTTCTCAGTACTGTGAAGCAACAGAGTCAAATGTTGACAGATTTGTTATGTATTCTTATAATTGATTTTTAAATGCTTTATGAAAATGGAACATAATTTGGTTTTGTAAATGAAAAGTAACTTATGGAGTTCTAGAACTTTGTAACAGATTGATGTCCTGGGGTCTGTGGTGGAAGAGAGAGGGGAAGAAGTAGGAGACAAAAACGTATCTCAGAACCTAAGATGTCCAATAGAATTCCAGATGTCTTGTCTTGAAAAGATGACCAGTGTGTGGCTGCTCTTGTGCTTACAATTCATGCTTTCCATATGATCTAGTGTGGTATAAATCTGTGTCTCAGTTGTGAGCCTTGTCCCAGATCCTCTGGTGGAACAGCTCACACTGCAGACGTGCTCCAGGTCTGCTGGAATTTGGTTAACCAGAGCCTTGATTTTACTAAAATTATCTTTGAGGCCAGTACCCCAGTCAGATATATGTGACACAGGCTAAAAGTTACAAAATTCAGTTTTATAATTTTATCAGACCTACATCTTCTGATGTTTGTTTATTGATACATAGTTAAAATTTTGTTCACTCTCTGCATAAACTACAGAAGTTTTACTTACTTATTGTAAAGCACAATGTCTGGCAACCAGATGTGTTTTGCAGGTATTCTCAGCTTATTTATTCCTTCATAGTCAGAGGGCTTCCAAGCCAAACGATAATCAATCCACTCCTAAGAGAAGAATTGTACAGTAGTGATGGGCGTACCCAGACCAGCACTAACAAACAATCACTGTGATGGAGCGAAAGCAGTCGCATGTGTGGTTTGCAAGAGCATGTCTGTGTGGGTTTGGTTACCTGGTTCAGCCAGACGTTTGTGGTCATGATCTGCTCCCGCTCATTCTGCAGGTAAAAAGAAAGGGAAAAGTTGTCATCTAAAATGTTTCACTTTATTGCAGTAATAAGATGTATTCAGTGGGCTTTTGAGGATATTTCCAACTGTGCAATATAATTTCATCTAGTGTATTTCAAGACAGGCCCCTCTCTGCTGGTGTGAAGGCTGGTCTTGTGCACATACTGATGATAAGTAGTAACCCCGTAAGTGTGGAGCTCCAAGTGACTTTTAACAAGGACAGCTGTGACTGGAGTGACTGTGGCTATTTGTGAACAACTACCACTGACCCACTGAGCTAATTTTCTTTTTTTATTTTTTCCCCTTTGTGGATTTGATTTGAAACAGATGTCACGTTTGACCACCTGGAAGGCCTAGATTAACTTGCGTGATGTTTATGTAAGGTTTGCCATGTAAGCTCTCAGCTGGCGGGCTCTGCTTCATGAAACTGCTGTCTCTCTGGAGTTCAGCAGAGAAATCTCTGTGCAGCAGATCTGTGTGGCTGGGACTGAGGGGACAAGGTAGGAGGTCAGAGTCAGGAGGATTTCTGCACAAACCCAAGTTAATTCTCTGATCCTGAAGATGATTGAGATTGTTAGATCCTATAAGATGCCAAATTTTGCTTTCTGCTTGAAGAGTGAGGTTATGGAGGGGTAGGGACTGAACTGTGCCATTCTTGATCCTTGCCCATTCATCCACTCTGCTTAGGTTGTTGATAGCTGGGGCCTGGGAGGGGCAAGACACCTTCCTTTTTACGGCCAGAATCTGACATCTGGGAGGACATTTTGCTAGTGGTGGCAGTGCACTGCGTGAGGAGGCACATCTGTGTCCAGGTGGAATTCTGCAGGAGAGAGGGAGCCCTTGTCCCAGAGTCCCCTGGCAGTATATCATGTATAAATTAGCCTGCACATGAATATGAAAACTTATCTCTGTGTAAAGTTTCCCTTATGTTCTATCAGTGTCTCTCTCTTTTCCTCTTGAATTTCAGAATACGAATTTTATAGGTCTCTTAAAGTCTGCAGCAGTCCAGTCACTGGCCCATACAAATTCTGTCAGGGGGGAAGTCATCTGTATCCTCTTTTTCATCTAGGGAGCAGCAGAGTTGAAAGCCCCGATGCAGGAAATTATTCCTGCTTAGGTGCTGGATCTTGTTCCCACTGCAGTTAATGCTAAATGTCTCTTGGCACTGAGGTGTGTATTTGTACCTTGGAAGAACTGTTAAACACATGCTAACCTTGTGAGTGAAAATGTCTTTCAGATTCACTGAATTAATTTTTACTGAATATGAGGAGTTGCTTACATGAGGATTGCTTTATCCATGTCAAGCTATTCCATCCAGAACTAACGTGTCTTTTTCTTTGCAACATTTCACTATTCTTTGCTGATATGCCTGATGTGCCATGAGATTTAGAGTTGGCTTCATAGCTTTTTTTCAGTCCATTCAACCACATTTCTTTGATGCAAACAGCAGAAGATGGTTTAGTATAGTGTACACAGTCTGGGATAGATCCTGACCTGGTGTAATTTACTGCAGTACTACTGAAATCAGTGGAGTGATTTTGATTTTTTGATCAATGGAATTTTATTGGATGAAGATCTGGCTGCTGTTCTTTATTGCTTAGGCATAGATTGGTCTCCCTGTTGTAGCTGCATCTGGAAGTATAAAACCGGTAAATTGCCATGTGTAGGCCCTACCCACCAAGTATTATTATGTAAACTAGAAAATAACAGGGACATAGTCATACCAATATGACTTTTACTTAAGAGTGCTGCTGTGCAGGTAGTAATGAATTAAAGGGCATAGCCTAATTTGAACTTACCACGCTGATGAGCTGTGCCAGGGAAACCTGCAGTTCTATAGATACCAACTGGGATGAGTTGACAGCTGGTCGAATTAACTTGTTGTACCTGTCAGGACTCAATAGGTGGTTCATTAGCTTTTCTTCAGCATCTGCTGCAGTGCTTCCTGTAAAACATCATGTAACAGGATTATAGAAGGGAGACCGAGTGATATGATGTAGGGATCACAGAATTTCCGTGCATCAGATCATCTTCATGAAATAATGAGGGCTTTTGATTTTCTAAAGACTGTAGGCTTATGTGAACAGAAGGATATGGTGCTTGTACCGATATCTGTTCTGCTGAAGTTGACTGTCTTTCACAGAGCACAGATCAAAGCAGACAAATCAGAACCCTTTGGGTTTTTTCACAGTAAAATGTGAAGCTCAAATAGATACTTTCGGGAGTGCATTCAGAAATAGAAACTGGGAGCAAACCACCCTCTTAATAAGAGAGAAAGGATGTTTCAGCAATCCAAATGCAGGGAGTCTTGCTGTGACTTCTCTCTTTAGTGTCGTAGGAGACAGAGTTGCAGGCACACATAAATTGAAAGACTCTGATCTGTGTAGGGAAAAACAGGGCATGGGCTGCAGGAGTCATAAGAGTTTTCTAATGATTGGGAACTTGGATAGCTAGTGATATTTCTGTTTCAGAATGATTTTATTTGAAAACCTGAGACAGTATGTAAGCCTTATTTTATGTGAAAACAAAACCTGATTTATGGACTAGCACAAATACCATAAATCTTAGATGGCCGAAGCTGGGGTTCAGTTGACTGCAAAATCTAGTATCTGCAGAATACTATCAAACAAGCCTGAACATTGTCCAAGGAGCAGAACAACTTATGGTAGAACTGCATCTGTTCCCATGTTCTTGTATGTGCTTTTTAAAGCCATCCTAGTGGACTTCTCAAACCACTGTTGACCACATAATAGTACTGATGACTAAAGTCCTGGTAATAGCCCGCCAACAGAATTGGCCCAGAGAGATTCTCCTCTATGTCAAATAATTCTGTGTTGTGTTATACAGCTGACAGCGATGGACACGTGTGTTAATGAGAACAGATTCTAATGCAATTGATAGAATGATTCTTCCATAGGAAAAGGCACCTAACTCAACCCTAGATATTGCAGAAATGAGGATAGTGTCCTTACAGCACACTTGCTTCGTTGTTCCCCAGAGCAGTTCCACACAGTAAAAACCACTGGCCATGCAAGTATTTTGAATTTGGAGTTAATTAATTTGTTCTGGGGTTTTATGTTGTAGCATATCCATGAGATCCAGAAAAAGGCAGACATCCAAAGGCCAGGATCACATAAGCAGCCAAAGTTTGTGTGCATTTGTAGATAGTGTCTAGTTTCCATGTGAACTGGGCAGTAAGTTGCTAGGGGGAACAGGTCTCTCTTGAAACTTGGTACTTCTGAATTCCACTCAGATTAAAAAAATACTATAAGAACTTCTTGTTTCTGATCCAGTAAGAAAGTGGAGAGACATTAAACATCATTGAACAGATATTTCCACATCTAAGAACAGCTCAAGCTCTGGGGAAAGGTTGGTATAAACATCAGACTTGTTTTAATTCTTTTAAGACCAGCATATGCTATGACATTGGTAGCACAAATTTTGTCACATATACTTAACCATAATACTGTTCTTCAGAGTAGGCTTCTCAAATGCTTCCCAAGCCATTTGGGAAAACAAATTTCGATGAATACATCTGTGTTTGTTGGGTCAGTTTGGTTTTTGATTCACACTTGCTTTGTACCTCCCTGCCAGTCATTATAAAAGCCCCAGTATCATGTGATATTTTAATATTACATTTAATGTAAGCCTGCCTAATCAAAGGCTTATCAAGCTAGAGCTGTGCTGATCCTTGCTAAGCTCTGGATTGGTTTTTTTCTTGCTCATTGCAATCAAGACAGAGTTAAATTTGATACTGTGAAGAAAATGGGGCCGCACTCTAGGAATGAATAATTCTGTGTTTATAAGGATAGGTGAGAAGCCTTGTGATAGCTAAAGAGAGAAGTCAAAGTTATTTTATTATGTTGGTTTAGTTTTGGGGTTTTTTAACAAACAATCCCGCTGTTACATATGTAAGTGACATAAGCAGGTGGCTATGATTCAAATATAAATAAATTGTCGTTTGGTTTGTTTCATACAGTGATAACTGAATGCTGCTAGAAAAGACAGTGAGTTCTTGTTCGAATTTTTAAAAATGTTTCCACTCTGTTGCCATCTTTTTTTCTGTAAATATTCTAGAATATGGAGTATTTGCTAAACAATGAGAAGTAGGAACTGCAGGATACTTGCATAAAGCTAATTCTGAATTTGTAATAATCCTACTCTCTGGTTTTAACAATCATAGCCGTCTGGTCTGCAAATCAAAACATACTGTGGGGTCTGCATGTCTGATGAGAGCAGCTCAGATTTCAAAGTACTGACTGTCAATAAACTTTATGCAGATAAATGACAGGCCGTGACTGAATTATAAAAAATGTATTTGTTACACAATGAATCCCGTTAGGAAATTATCTGTTCTTAGGGAAGGGGTTCCTGTAATGAATAAATCTTTATTAAACTGTCATTCCATCGCAACCTTGAAATATCTTAATCACCAGAAATAAAGATCGAAGGGACTACTTGTCCATCTCTCAGATGCCTGTATCAAGTACCACTAGATGTCAGCAGTGCACTGCTCAAAGGTCGCTAAATCCAGTCTCCCTGTAAATAACGTGTATAAATGAGTGATTCTTCTATAATTTTCATAATCTATTTTCCATTACCAATCTACATATTAACCACATGGCACCCAATGAGGACAAAATTACCAGACGTTCATCTTCATATGCCTTTCCTGTAGCCATGCCTTTGAAACTCCTCTTCTGCCTCTCAGAGTTGCAGTGCAGTTTCCCTCACAAAACTGGTTTGTTTTTTTTTCCCCCCAAATAACAGTGATCACCAGAAATGTTGCAAAAATGCTTTTAGACAAATGATTTTAACAAGAATGATGAAGCAGTCCTAATTTGGGCGTGGATTATTTCTCTGTACAGAAAGCAGTTAACAGAGAAAACACATCAGGGTGGATCCTGAGCTAGGGAAATTGTTTTGGCCTCACTGAATGCGCTACACATCTGCTCCATGACAAGGAGAGACAATTGCCATATAACTTGCAGTATACATTCAGCAGTAAGTTTGTTTTGTCTCTGGGAGTACGACCGTTAAAAAATAAATTGCATCAGGATGCTTCCAATTTCACAGCAGAAGAAACAAAACCACAGGCTTCATTCACTCCCCTGTGCAAACTTTCCATTTCACATGGTCTAATTTAAACATATAAAATGAAGTAGCTAACCATCCTGTGTTATGTTGTTTATTTTCAAGTGTAATGATACATATATTGGAGTGATTTCCACAGAACAGAATAAGGAGCAATGTTGATAAATATAGGCAAGTACACTGTTATCACTGTCTGAATTGCAGAATTTAACATAAACCATGTTTTATCCATTTCCCTGACTTCAGTTATTTTAATAAATGTTGAAATAGCATTTGCTTAGAAATAATGTACTGTAGCATATGTTGTCATTTTTGTTCTTTCCTCTCCCACTAATAACTTATGTGGACAATGGTGACATACCAAATTCCCATCTGTAATTAGTAAAGAGCAGGCGAGAAGAAGCAATAAGACAATCCCATTATCTTCTCTGAAATTACTTTGTGATGTTGTTACTTCTCAGCATACTCTGGAGTAAAACGATTTATATAACCTCTTAGAGCAATGCACGCTGATTTGGAACGCTTATGTTCCAGTGGAAGTAGTCGTGAATTTACTGTATTTTAAGAGTATTTTAATTTCTACACTGCAATTAATACAAATAAAAAGGAAATACTAAAAAAAGTGTGTAATCTAAGAATCTAAAGTAGGCCCTCACTCCTCATTTGTAACAAAGCAGATGTTTCCTAAAGTTGCCTCTCAGTGACTGAAGAAACAAAACAACTGTGGGATGAATAACTAATTATGGGAAAGATGTGATTTTTGTCTCGGCTCAATTTCAGCCAGTTTCACTCAGAACACTTTGGTGGAGTTTTTGTGGGAAGAAGCTCCTGTGGTAAATGCACTATTTCATGCTGCTATTGGGCTGTGCGTGTTGGCTAAAACATATGCAAGAAATCCTGGCAGAATCAAGAAAATGTTCTTAATGTAGGTTTGCTTTTTTTAGCATATTTTTACATATTTCAACTTAATTTAATCCATTTACATATTAATCAAGCAATTAGGAAGTATGAACTTTGAAAAATATATGAACTTGAGCCAACAGTTGTAGAGGGATGAGATGTGTCTTATTTATGGTTCATGTCATGGTTCATTTTTTATTTTTCACTCTCAGCATGATACCAGCTTTTCCCATCACAGATGATCCTGGGAGCATCTAAAGACATATTATTTAGTGATTATCATTGTCATCTCCTACTGTTCTGTCATTTTATGTCCAACTTGCTCTCTGTCCATATCCATTGTAGTAGATTTGCTGATACTGAACAAGCCAGAAACAACACTAAAATAATCAATTTCATGCATTCTCTTAAAGTCTGCAACCTACCGAGTGATAGTTACAGATTATCTGAGAGCTTCTATCACAGTCCTACCTCCTAGCCCTTAAAGCTATTGCTGTTCTGCAAACTGTATCTGAAAGAAAAGATCACTTACCGTTAAAATAAAAGGAGCTCGCTACAAAGAGAAAGAGAGTGTACGTATTCCTCATGGCAATAACAAGAAGAGGTGGATTACTGCTCTTCAATTAGGACAGCTGGCAATAGGCTCTGTTGTCAGGGATGCACAAGGAAAAGATGTAAAAGCAAACCTGAATCTTGGAGGTACTAAATGCCTGGAAAGAGACAGACAGTAGGACCTGGCAGAAGCATTCTGCAAAGTGGGGTTTTCGTGAGCATAGTGATCCCTCCCCCTTTGCAGCTGTTTAAAGAGCTTTGTGAAGAGGAAAAGCACATAAGAAGAAGGAACATAATGTGATAATGTTGAACAAGAGGAAATGAAAGAGCAAGCTAAGGAACATGATCTGCAAAACACAACTGCTTAATTCTTGCTACTAGATAACATTTAGAAGGGTTTCTGGTTAATAAGTGCAATGTGTGGAAATAGCTGTGTGGGAAGAGCTGGTTATGACTTTGTGCCTTAAGACCTGTTAGTGAAAGACATGTCAGTAAATTATAGCCCTAGCAGAGGGTAATTTTCTGTGTCGAGGGAAACTGCCAACCCTTTTCCACTCCAAGGCCCACACATGAATTCTCTGAACTAGAACTCCAAAAGTCTTTTTGGGAACAGCAGGAGAGGAACAGAGAATTTGTTGTCATTAGCATTTGACAGGTTTTTTTGAAGAAAGCTAAGGGAGCCTGTTGAGAAATAGCAATAGCTATAAAGACACTCCAGAGGAGCAGTAGAGAAATTCTGTGGAAGTGATCTTTTACAGCTGAAGGGTTCAGCAAAGTATCATGTGTTTGGGGAGTTGCCATGGGAAGATTTGTGTAGAAGGAAGGGGAAAGGAAGTTCTTTAATGCCTTTTGTAAGCACTGTAGGACAGGCTGACGTCCCTGGATAGAAAAGAAAGGTGCTAATCTTCTAAATACTCCATATGGAGGTTCCTCTCTGCTTCAGCTGGCCACAGGGTGCAGTCCTGCTCCTGTCTCCTCTCCCAACAGTCTGACACCACTGGCTGGGGTGAAGGCATTCCTGATTTACCAGCATAACACACCAGACTTCTGCACCTAGTGTAGTTGCTACCTGACTGGGTTTATTTTGAGGTGACCTGCTGCTGGTTTTAGGCAAGCTGTCAGTGTAGTGTTGAACTGATTGCCTTCTCCCTAAATGTTTTAGCCACCTTCTTTTTTCACTAAATAGGCCAGTATGTTATAACCTCATTGTCTTTAAAGGAGCTGCCATCAGAGGTAGCCCAATACGTAAAGAGACTCTACTAAAGTTTCTGGTAATTGTACTATCTACAATCTATGTACTCCTCTAAATAGTCTGTTTTGGGGTATTTTTGGCTCATTTCTTTAGTGTAGGAGGAGGAATTCAGTGAGACAAATGGAAATGTACTTACTGCATGGACTTCTACATGGATAAAACAAGTGGCTTGTGTTGCCTTCCCTTACTCCGAAAACTCAAGGTATGTCAATTTTACCATATCCTCCACTAAGGATTCCCAGTAGTTCTTTAAAAAGTTACAGCCTTCTACCATGCGAAGGATGGCTTGTACATTCTCACCGTTCTTCCCCTGCGATCTCAAACAATTTTCTTTAATGTAACTTTAATGTAACACCCTCAGTTATAATTCCATAGGTTTTATAGTTTTTTAACTTTAAAATACTTTTATAGTTTTTTAACTTTTAAAAAACTTTGATCTCTTATAACCACCAAACATTTATATATATATATACATGTGATCACTTTGTTTAGAGATGGATTTATTCCATCTTAATGCTATGGGAACATCTCAGATGACAAAAAGTTCTGTGGACTGTGTAGGAATTGATGGTTGATGATTTCTTTATACTCAAAAAATTTTTATTGTTAGCCATACCAACATAAATATGCTGTTTGTTTTGCTTTTCTTAATGATTATGACCAGCCTGGTATCACAGATTCCCTGTCCTGGGAATAACAGCTCCTGGCTGTTACTTTAAGTCTTCTTTTTGTGTGTTTTCATCACTTCCTTTTCCCTCTTATTTGACATCTGGAATTGATTTAAATTGGGGTTGTTCAGTCTGCAGAAGAGAAGGTTCCAGGCACACCATGGTGAGGCCTTTCATGAAAGAGGCTTTTAAGAAAGGTGGAGACAAATTTTTTAATAGGACCTGTAGTGATAGAACAAGGGGTAATGGTTTTAAAGTGAAAGAAGGTAGATTCAGACTAGATATAAGGAAGAAATTTTTGACAATGAGAGTGGTGAAACACTGGCACAGTTGCCCAGAGAGGTGGCGGATGCCCCATCCCTGGGAACATTCGGAGTCAGCTTGGATGGGGCTCTGAGCAACCTGGTTTAGTTGAAGATGTCCCTGCTCATTGCAGGCGGGCTGGACTAGACGACCTTTAAAGGTCCCTTCCAACCCAAACCATTCTGTGATTCTATTACTCTAAATGGGAATTAGAATTCTTACCTCAAAATAGTGTGGGAACTGAAGGGAAGGAGAATGGTTTCGGTGAGATAAACAAGAGAACAGTCATTGTGGGGACGTCTGATGAAAAAAGACAATGCAGTCCTAGTGGGTACATGTGAATAGACTAACTTCATGAAAATAGAACATTATTTCTCTGCTTTCCTCCACCATTTAATTAACAGCATGTAGAAATGGACCCTTCCAACAGAAGATTACCCTCTTGGAATAGTCACAAACTGTAGGAGGTGTGTCCCAAGCGAAGTGTTTATGCTGGAGCCACCACTTCTTCTCACTACAGTGTGATTGGCTTGTGCCTTGTCAGATGTTTGGATGGTCAGAGTCCTTGTTGCTCTCTTGAGCCTGCTGGACAATGTTGTCTTTCATAATGTACGGGGAATCGCTCTCAAGGAGCTGTGCCTTCAGATACTAAGGGTATGTTTGAGCAAAGTACCAGTCTGCTGGAGTGGAAAGACTGCATCTGTTTCTCTGTTTTTACTTTTTGATACCTGGCCTATTTCTCCTCAAAGGCAAATCTGCCAACCCAGTCTCTGTGCTTTTGCAGGGGTTACAGGAGTAACAGATGTATAGGCCCTGAAGTCACTGTGCTTCTACCATCTATGCTGACTGATGCTTGGGAGTTGAGTAGCAGCTCAAGGTATAAGAAAACAGGTTGGGGTTTCTTCACCAAAGCGGTGGGCCATCACAGAGCCAAAGGGTCCACAGATCATTCACCGATTGCACTAGTGTTGCTGCTGAAGCTGAGGTGGACAGGGAGAATTACCACAGCTAGTTCTTTTTCTCTCTGGCCATATTCCTTCCTTTGCCATTCGCTTTTGTTCATTCATTCTGACAGGTCACTGGAGGTCTTCCTTGATCACTTCTGCTGTGCAACTTGTTTTGCCCACAGTGATGCTGCAGGATGCCATTTGTTCATTCAGTTGAAATCCTGAAATGAAAAGTCTTTTTAGTAGACATTAGCATATGTGATGTTCTGAATTTGCATGTTAATGCACTGTGCAGGCATGGGAATAGCGTGGCAGAGAGCCATCGCTGAGCTGGCTGGGGGGTTGCTCTGGTACCCTAATGCTTTGCGTGCCTTAGGGTATTAGAGCTCTTAGATGCATGAGGAATGCAAGATGTCCAAGAGCCCAGGAAAACTGGCAGTCCTCTTTTGTGGATTTATCACGGTGATTTCAAGCTGCCATTTGCATTAGGAAAGAACCAGGCAGAAATGCTGGAGCTTTCAGAGTGGAAGCAACCTGGGGTGCAGCTGACCTCCTTAATGAGACAGGCACAGTACAGGGAGATTGTGGAAAAAGTGCATGCTTCCAAGGTGGAAAGCCACAATTCGTTTCCAGTAGTTGTGACACTGAAATGAAGTTCAGGGCTGAGCTCATGGCTAAACTGATTCGATAAAGGACTTCAGGGCAGCTTATTAAATGCTGATCTTACAGAACGTGCCTTAATAATAATGCCTTATTGTTGCTTTAGCAGAACAACTCTCACTTTCTGATTGAACATTGCTACGGAAAATGTCAACAAACAGTGAATTTTATTTTTCTAGCACCTTATGTCTGAGTGAACCTTAGTGATATCTACTCATCTCACCAGCAGCAAGGCATACTTTGCTCTCTGATCGGATGAAAACTCGAACTTCTGACAAGTAACTTCGGCAAATACCCCACATGGCCCCCTGCAGGTAAAATCACACTTTTCCCTACTCACTACTGGCTGAAGGAGCTCATTACAACAGCTGTACTGGAACTAACATTCCGCATGCCTGGAATTTTTTCCTTACAAATGCACTTACAGACCCATTAGAGTTGTGTGATGCCTCAGCCATTGTGATGCTAAAATGTTTGGGTTAAATTGTACTGCTGCAGCTTCATTTAACATTTAACAGTGCTGCAGTGCGTCCGGATTTAAAGCTGCAAGGCAAAACAAAGCTGGGGCACCGCAGCTCCAATAACTCAGCGGGATGAGCCGAGCTAGGTCTGCACACAAAATAATTGCTGGGAGAAATCAGTGGGAAGGACTAGGGTATATGGAATATTTGGTCCGTTATAATCTAAAGCTTTGGAATTTAGTAAGCTTTTCTGGACTAGTAGAGGCTTTATACTGGAGAACTATTTTCAATCAAGAGGCTCACTCTACAGTGGTGGACCGTGACTGTGGGTAACTATGTCATAAAGCCCATTTCCTACTGCACCTCTGTAGTTATACTTGCCTTGCCAAATGGGTTCTAACGAATATGTACACATCTTTGTAATTAGCTGTCTTCAGGCAAGTTATAATACCATCGTGCTCTTGCAAATGACAGCAGGAAACAGAGCTGTGGATGCTACCATATTATCAGGGAAATAACTGTCCTTTAAGGTTTCAAACTATGACACTATATGTTGGTGCCTGACATGTCATCACACTATAATCTGCTGCAAATCCACAAAATGTTCCCGAGAATTGCCACTAATGGCACTGTGACAAAGTTAATAACACAAACGAGGTGTACGAATATCTTAGTAGCAATGAATGGGATTCCAGTTTTCATTGTCAAAATACGAATTATTACGGATCAATGAAAAACCACCTTTCTGCTCTGGAATATGATATGTCTGACTCCTGGAAAAACAATGTTTTCCTTTTCTGGTCAATTTTGTCGCCATAAGCTTTGTAAGCTAGCAGGTGTCTTATGTTTGTAGAGTATGTGAGGCAGTAATATTACAGCCTCTAACACTTATTATCATCAACATCTTTAACCTTCAAAGCGCACAAGTGTAACAAG